GAAAATCATGAAAACTCTAATGAACATAAGAAATCAATGTTAGTGTGGTTGACGCGTGAAGGTAACAAGTTATTTGTGAAGGCAGCAAGTTAATTGTATCATTAAAAGAATTCGTGAACAATGTAAGGCACCAATCAGATCAGAAGCTAAAGGAATACGAAGAGAAAGCTTAAAAATTAAATACTAGCGTGGGAATAGACTACAATGACATAAACAAGAGACGCATTACTCCAAGATTTTCAGATAAGTCTACAGATAAATTCTCAGTATACGGCGCAGAAAAATTTAAAAGAGACACGATAAACGTTGCGTTGGATAAGTTGATTATGGATTTAAACAAAAGGAGCCAAGTCTATGAGATGTATAGCAAGAAATTCAAATTTTTAATGGATTTGCAAGACAAAAATATGGAAAACATAGATCTGGAAAATGTACGTAATATTGTTGATTATTATCCAGATGACGTAGACGAGCATTTAGTGAATGAGTGCATTCAGTTAAAATCTTATTTACTTCAGTCTAAGCCAGAGTCTTACACCTCTTGCAGTGAAATTTTTATGCTAATTTATGAAAAGAAATTTGTTGATGTTTTCCCAAATTCTTGCACTATCTTAAGGATTTTTTTAACTTTGCCAATCACTAGCTGTGAAGCTGAGCGCTCTTTCTCCAGGATGTCATATATAGAAAACAAATATAGGACAACAATGTCGAACCATCGACTAAATCAACTATCAGTTCTTTCCATAAATTGTGATTTAACGAAGGACTAACAATGTGATGAACAAATAAAGAAATTTGCGGCACAAAAATGCAGAGAGGTTGCTTCATAATTTATGTAACATAACTATACATAACCTGTCAATTTCTTTTGCAATAATGTTGTACAGTTGCTGTTTGTATAGACAAGTGAAAAAATTAAAAAAATAAATAAATAAAATTATTTTATTGTCCTATTTTTTTCTATATGCTTATCTACATCACTATAGAAAACAGTTTTTTGACAAAATGGCTATTAGGGCCCCAAAGTAGTTTCAGCCCAGGGCCCCACAAATTCACGATCCGCCCATGGTTGTGAGTANTTGTAAATGATGACTGATGTACGTTAAATCTGTTGGGTCACGAAATCCTCCTATTTCTCATAACAAATTATACCTCTTTGGATTACTTCATTGGAGATTGATAATTCTCTGGTACAGATCAAAATTGCAATCTGTAGATGAATGAATGATTGTATGAATGAATGATTGTATGAATGGATCAGCCGTAGAAACGGGTGTGACGTAGTGGCAGAAGTCGAATTCTTGGCCATAGATGACGCCACGTAAAAACAAGAGGAATTATACTCCATCTGTTCAATGGCCGACGACAACAACAACAACAACAGAAGGAGATAACCGCTAACCCCCCTCTAACATATATTAAAACTATGTTAACGCTACTGCCTATGAAGTGGTGAATGAAGTTACTGGATTTGTTGGTGTTTCAATGCTGACTGTTCAATGCATCTACAAACACTGGTGTAATACACGTGGTCACGAAAGACGGCGTCAGAATTGTGGTCTCAAAAATAACTTGCATGAAAGGGACCGGAGACGTGTTTCACGACTTGGCAATCAAATTCGTTTGAATTGTTTCAATTAGTGAATGACGGTCCATCCCGACCTGTAAGTGAGGGAACATTGCGACGGGAGCTGCATGCAATGAGCATTTGGAGTCGAACACCTCGTAAGAGACCAGTGCTCATACGGGCACATAAAGCTGAGGGACTTCAGTGGGCTTGAAGTCACCCATCAGTTGCTGACAGACAGTTGCTGACAGGCGGAATGTAATATAGTCTGAGAAATCACGTTTCCGTCTTTTTTCAAATAACGCACTTCGTCGAGTGCACTGAAGACTAGATGAAACGTTTCCTCCTGACTGTGTGCAAGTTCAGATTCAAGCCGGAGGTGAGTCTGTCATGTTTTGGGGGTGTTTTCTTATTATGGATTGGGCCCTCTCACTAAGGTGGCCACTAATATGTTCATTTGAACATTCCGGATGATCAGGTGTTGCCTTTCAGTCTACATCTTCATGAAGAGTATGCTGCCGATACCCCCATTTTTCAAGATGACAACAGCAAAGTTCATCGAACTAGAAAAATATGTGACTGGTTTTATGAACACTCAGACACTCAATTACATCTCGAATGGCCTGCAAATCACCTGACTTGAACCCATTGAAAATTTGTGGAACATGTTGCAACAATGGGTCTCTCATTTTTCGAGGGCAGGAGAATCTTCGAGGTCTGCTCCAAATGTCAAACTGAACAGACTTCTCCCGAACACATCCTGAACTGTTTGGGACTTTCCAGAGAAGACATATACTTATCCTCCCCTTCCAGTCCCCGATTTTCTTAGGGTCAACGGTCTGATGGACCTTGTCTGACTTCGTCAGGCATTAGAGGATAAACCACAACAATTGTTGTGGCTTATCCTTGTTAACAACAACAGCAACAACGGGTAAAACACCGAAATCAGCATCGTCTCAATTTGGTGGATTTGCGTATTCTCAGCGAGAGGCTGAGACTGGATTCGACGTACTTGCAAAACCTTATGGACTCACTTTCTAACCGAATCCTAGCAGTTATCAAATCCAGAGGTGATTAACATTATTAAATGATGTTTTTCATGATTTCTCTAAGGGTGACTAATTTTTCGTCCGGTGTGCTTCTGTATTTTAAAAATTCTTGCAAAATAAAGTAAAAACATTAGATTACAGTACATTAAGAGACATAAATTGATTTCAGGAAAAATGCAAGAATGATATCGAAGCTTGATGAATTTCTACTGAGGAAAACAGGACTGAAATCCACTTAACCTGTTTGTTTGCCAAAAGAAACAGAAACAGCGAGTAATTATCACTCATGGAATTATCTTTATTTCACGAGTCATTCAAACTTGTTTAGAGATTTATCAGCCTGCCTTTCTCGATAGATATTTGATAGATAACAACAAGATTTTTGTTTATTTCTTGATGTGCATTTTTATGTATAATAAGAAGAAAAATCAATTAAAAATCTAACTTACTTAAAGAACTTTTTACGGAAGGAGAACCAAACAATCGGAATGGCATGTCGGTTTGGAATTCATGCCAAAAGAAATGCGCTTTCATTGCAAGCGCTTCGACTTTTCTAACTCACGAAAAAGTAACCTCATCATTTAAGTTTTTCCTTCACCCTTTCACTCATCGTGGTTGAATAATGTTAATAACAACAGAATTAAAAATAAATGAAGAAAAGAAGAAATATGTAAATAAAAGAAAAATTGGCGATCGAAATGGGATGCAGGTGGCGTAGAGCAGAAGTCTCTACCTATGGCAACACTTTGCATTCTTTCCCTATTAGCATGTGGAGAGTCATAGAGGAGGGAAGTACTTTAGTTTCTCTCTTGATTTTCATATAGATTAAGATCTTTTAAGTTGGAAAACTATATGGAACTGAAAACTACATTAAACAAAGTTCTACAGAGAAAAATCATGGAAATTTTAAAAAATATTTTTATTGAATAAAAATGACAAATATTAAAAAAAGGGAAAATATCGTAGTACATTCCGATTTAACTGAAAAGAGGAGGAGAGGGAAGGGAGAAGGGCCAAAGGCATGAAACCGGTCTCTTTCCAAATGGCGTCTTCGAGCGTTGCGATAGCCAATAAGTAAACAAAAGAAATAAACGTTTGTGAAGAAATCTTATACGAAGAGAAAACAAAAAAAATGTTTTGACTGATAAGAAATTATTTAGTGAAACAGTTTCTTAATAGGATGCTGTGTATGTAATATGACATATGACAATGTAATATGACATATGTAATTTAAGGTATAGAAAAAGTGAGCCCAGGTATATTTTAGAAAAAACCAGAAGAATTCAAATTCTGAAAAAAGAAATTTAAAATATAAAAATTCAAACATGATATTTTAGAGACATTTTTTAATTATTATAAATTTTATGGGTTTCTTTGCTTTCACCAGAACTAACTTTTCTTTGTGCTGCTAATTTTAAAATACCAATAGAGTAAAAAGAGAATTTACCATGAAAAAATTATCCCGAGATATACTGCCCTAAATATCTTAGTCACTTTAATAAATTGGATTGTGTTTTCAACACTAGGGAACGCTGCAAGCGCGGTACCGCCTAAATTTCCGGGTTACTGTTTCCGTTGTATTTTAAAGCCATTTGGCATCATTGTGCTTTGAGATTCTTGCAAACAATGAATTTGATTACTTATTACTTGTGTTTACAATGCTAAAAGAGTTAACACTAACGTAAGATGGTGCTCAGCTTGCAACAAGAACAAGCAGTAATAAACTTATGGAAAGAGGCCATATCAAGACTGCAGTCTTGATATGCCAAAAAAGCGAGTTATTCAAAATCTAGCAACCGTGTCACCTTTTTTAACAATATATCTTTACATAACTAAAGCAAATTTTTACTTCAAACTCACCAGAATTACATAAAATCATTAATATCTTATGAAATATGGCAGATTTGAGCTCGGAAATTATCTAATTTACTTCGTTTATTGAAAATAAAATTATCCGTTTGAAAATATCTCCTTTCAGAATAACATATATATAGTAAGCAGCTGCAAACTTTCTAACCGGAACTAGAGCAGGCATACAGCTCGAGATTGTTATTGTTTACATTTCTACTGAAAACACCATCCATACCAGTCCTCTAGAGATTGAAAAATTGATAGAAAAGACGTCCTTCATGAGCATGGATCCATGGATACTATAGGTTGAAGGTCAAGCGATAACGATGTTAACGATGAAGGCAGAAGCCAATGAGATATATAAAATTAATCGATTGCACCAGCTGAGCAATTGCATATATTAAAACATACCTAAATGATATAAATTAATTTTTTAGTTTTACATGGATGATATTAAATTTTTAGAAGTGAAATAAATATTATTTACGTTTATGTATTAAAAGAGCTAGTAACATTTAGAAGTATATTTAATTTTCACACATTGGCAACATTAAGGAAAAGAAATTTTCGGGCGGACGACAGCTCGCTGAGAAAATTACGAAAGTTAATTTGAATCGTTTTAAAATTATGAAAACATATTTATGAATAAAAATAAGTTATGATGGGAATGCTTCCTTCACCTTCCCAGGTTTCAAAATTTTATTCTTTCATCAAAGCAATGTTTAGATTAGCTGTCGGTAGTAACTTGTCAAATCGATTGTATATTAATACTATTTTTATGTCTATTTATTTTTTTCTCTAATAATTGCTTCATTGATTTTATAACCTACTTAAAACTACTATCCTTCCTTGAGATCTATTCTTAAAACTTGAACGTGGATATTCGTGTAATTGAAAAATTCCATTAGTAACCTTTGAATCTTATATTTCGTACTATGTTATTATTTGGAAATATAAATGATAAACATGTGCTGTTAATAATTTTTTAACAATAATTAAAACAGACTTTTTTCTAATATTTTTTATTTAACTAGTTTTTAAAAATATTACCTTGTGAATATATTTTTACGGAACAGGTGTCATTATCTATGAAATTGATTTCTGATAATGTTCAAATATATCAGTATAATATCACTGAACATTTTTTTTTCTTTGAAATTTTAGTGATTATTACTTAAACAAAAAGACTTCATCTTGTTTTCAAGGTATGATGTGAGTTTTTAAATATAAATTTAAATAAGTATAGGATCACTTTTTCTATGTCTTTTTTATTAAAATTACCTTCAGTTCTTTAAGTGAATATTAAGTATATTATCTTTGGATGACTGTTCTTTCTTTCAGACCCTATATTATATATATCAGCCTTATAATCATGTATTAATATTTTTTGTGTTCTGTTATTTAGATCAAATAATTAATTTTAATAACAAATATTATTCAATAAATGTTACTAAGTTTTATAAAAATCATTTAATTAAAATTTCATATTTAAAATGCAAAATTTTTTAATTTTTGATGAGTTTTCTAAGTTTAGTATGTTGTTTTCTTGCATTTATTCCAAGACAACAAACCCATATCAGATCGACTCTCAACTATGGTCTGAACATGTCTTAAACATTTTTTCATTCTACCTTTTATTTTATATCTTGGCAACTTAGTTATGTAAATAAATTTTTAAATCACTTTGGCTCATTGATTGTGAGTACCTATCCCTTTCTTTCTATTCCTTCTATATATATATTTTTATTTTTCTGTTTTTTTCGTTTCAAAATTTTCAGTTGGTTTTAATTGATTAAATTATGGTAACGAATATAATGTGTCTAATTTTTTTATTGATCCTAACACTATTTTATTGATGTTTTTGTCAGTTAATACACAGTTATATACATTAAATTTTGTATATATATAACAGTGTGAGTTAAGAAAGTTATATCTTTTTTAACTTAATTTGTCTGATATTTAGAATAATGATTTTATTTATTTTTTTAATTTATTATTCATCCATTTATTAAATAATTTTTATTGTTTTCTGTATTATTTTTCCTTTTCTGTGTTCTTTTCTAGTTTTCTCCATGTGATTATCTTTTATTAAATGTTCTAAGTACATGTAGCTCATTTGTAGTTAATAAAATTGAATTATAATGCTTTAAATTTCTCTTTTTGTTCTGTTTCAATAATTTATTATCATATATATTTATTTATACATATATAAGATAATAATATGAAGAAAACAAGTAAAGAAATAAAGAGGAAAAAAATTTTTAACTTAAAAGAAGAAAAACTACCATGATTGATTTTTTTTAAAAAGTCTTAAAAATTTTTAAAAAAATTTGAAAACTAGAAAACGAAATAACGAAAAGATATAATCACATCGTCAGCTCACACGATTATATCCACAAATTACAGTGCTTTCTAATATTGTATAAATATGGCCGAAGCAAAATATATCAATGGAATAGTTACTAAACTACACATCAATACAAAACTATACTTATACTCAAACTGTTGTATTGATATATTTTGCTTTGGCTATATTAATACAATATTAGAAAGCACTCTCGTTTGTAGATATGTAAAAAAATTATATTTTTTTGTTGATTAATTTTGTTAATTCTGGATTAATTTTTTTTCTGGATTTTTAAATTTTTCTTAAAAAAAATCTTTTTCTTTTTGTTGAGGGGGGGGGTTAGTTATTTTTGGTATTTTTTTTAAATTTTATTGCATGATCTCTATGTATTTGAGCAGCTTATGCACAGTTAATAAAACTTGTTTATTTTCTTTGTAGATTTCTCTTTTCTTTAATGATTTTTTTGTCTCTATATAAATATATATGTATATATACTAATATATATATATGTATATATCACACATTAGTGTAAAACAATATTTCTTAGTTTTTTTGGAAGGTTATGTTTTTTTTTTTTTGGCTAGGATTCATTGTTGACATTTGTACCTTTTAGGTTGCTAGATCTCACACTGCTCTATATGAAGCTTTGTATCGGCAGGTTAGTTGTGATATTGTACTTTATGTTTGATATAATTTGTTCAGTTCTTATTGCTGGAATTGTATAAAATAAAATAAAAAAAAATTTTTTTCTCTTTCTGTAACAAGGTGGATCCTGCTGAGACTGATTGTGTCTCAGCGGCTGAAGCTGCAGCATTCCTCAAACGTTCCGGTCTTCCAGATGTGATATTAAGCAAAGTAATCATTAGTATTATAGTTTTAATATCTATTGTTTGATTGCAAAATTGCTGATTTAACTAATTTTTAAAAAAAAATAGATTTAGCTTATTAATTTAAAAATATATAAATCTTAAATTAATTAATAAAATAGCAACTATGGAATATCTTTTACAAGTTAAAAATATTTATTTTAAATGTAAAATACATTTGAAGTTTTATTAAAATCATTTAGGTTTAATCATGATTTTTTCAAAAAAAAACCTTTTTATTTTACATATGAGTATGACTACATACTGGCAATTAATCTATATTTCTTATGAAAAATAAGATTCAGAAAAATTTAATTTACATAATTATATCTTTGCAAATTGAAGATAAAGAATCATAAGTTTACTTTACTCATCAATGTCAGAAATTTTATTAATGGAAGGAGAAGAAAACTGAAATATAAAATCAGATTGTTAAATATAAGACATTGATTTTGTTAGTTACTCTATTCCTATTATGTTTTGAAATTAATTATTGATTTTATAAATTTTATAATGTCTTTTTTTTCCTTAAAGATTTCATTTTGCCAAAATAAGTAAATTAGCTCAAAATTTTCTTTGACATATTTTTTTTTTTAACTATAAGTTGACTGATCCTCAGTTTTAACATTAAATTTAAGATAAATTTTTACTCAAGTTCAATCATATATTTTCAATACATTCTCAAATATAAAGATACTAGTTAATAAAATAACTTTAATATCATAAATTTAATTACTAAATATGAAACTTTTTCTGCCCTTTTGAAGAAATTTGCAATTAAAACTAAACCATTTTTTTGTAGATTTTGCTAGTTATTTTTTTACAGAATATCAGAATGAGTGAGTTCCTCATTCTAGCTTTGTTGCTGTGTGTAATTCCTAGCTTTGTTGCTGTGACTGTGACATAACAAGTGTTGTACTTTTTGCAGAAAGAAACTGATCTTACTTTATTTAGAGATAGTTCACAGGGGTCTGTCCAGGCTGAATTTACTACCTTTTAGTGGTACCTTCACAAATTCAACTTTAGGAAAAACGATAGTTTGACAAAATACTTTTTCTTAAAATTTTATTTTTGTATCCCTTAGGAAACGATAAATCCATATTTTTACCACATTTTTGTGTTGATTTTTTAATATAATTTTTAATTTTTCACACATTTGTCTAAATTTTCACAAAATCGGTACCTCTCAGAAGAACCTTGACAGACCCCTGGTTCATTTACTTTTTGAAATTTTGTATTATTATTATTATTATTTTTTTTTTTGTTAAAAGAGAAAAAAAAATTGCCTCAAGTAATTTTTGTAACTGTCTTTGTGATAGAACCTGATGTACACAAAATGATTCATAAGAGTATAGTGTAGCTAAGTGACCAATAAAAAACTCAAAATCATATTTACTCTCATTTATTCAAGTTTTTTTTTTTTTTTTCCATTTTAAAAAAAGGAGCTTATGTTTTATTACTGAGGGAAATGCTAGAAGCAGTAATTTCAATCTAGCTTACTCACTTAACTTGATCAACATCTATGAGGTGGTAATACTTTACTTGACTGAGAACTAAAAATTTTTCTTTTGCATATGATCATTTCAAGGTTATTTTGCTTGAGTTCAGTTTATATTTTAATTAACAATAGATAATTAAACATAGACTGTTAAAGAAAAAAGAAACTTTTAAATATCACTTAGTCAAAATGTCTTATTACTAGTTAAGTCATTCTGTGTTCTGAGAAGAGAAGTATTCTACCACTTAAAGAAATGCATGTTAGGATAGAATGGAGTAAGATGGGGTACCGTGATTGTGTTGAAATTAGTTCTGTTTTCTAGCCGACAAACTCTGAGCGCTTAACTAGTCATACAGAAAAACCTACCTTATTAACGTGTTGTTGCTGTTGATTATTTCCAGCATCTATGTAGCTAAGTTTGTTTTACTATATCAACTCTCAAATTTTCTTTTAATTTTGAACTATCCTTACTTATTGGTTATTACAGTTATAAAAATATTTTTAGTCTAGCTTATACGTTTACTTAAGATTCATTCCCTAACAAGCAATAAGTATTTAGTTCAATATTAGCTGTGTTTTGTTTTATTTTATTAACCTCTGTTCTTGGAATAAGTTCGGGTACTAACAGCTCTTATCCCCTTCCTGATATGTGTGTATACTGGGCCCATGAAAAGTTGCTGTATTACAGGCTAAAAATATTACTATATCACTTGTAAACTACATGCATAATATTCTTAAATTATAACAAAATAAAAATTTCTAATTTTTAACTGGAATTCTAGTATTTCTAAATTTCTATAGAGTTAACTTGTGGACTCTGGCTTAGTCCATTCGTGGAGCAAGACTGGGTGATTTAATTTTTCCCGAGAGAGAAGTTTTGTATTAAAAGTGGTACATCTATTACTTTTCAGGAATTATATTTTGTACATAACTAAACAATTAATATCTTAATTAAATCTGATAGTTTCTTGGTAGGGCAACCAACACGCCTTCAAATCTTAACTATCCATTCTTATCTTATTTTCACTTCTATAGATTTTAGAATTGATAGCAAAATAATTTCAATTTTATAAGGAAAAAATTTTATAAATCTTAGTAAATATTGAAGCTTTCAAACGTCATGTGTCTCACAAACAACAATTAATTTTTTAAAAATTTTTTTTTTGGTTGGAAGTATTTAACTCTTTTGTAACAATAATTGGAACATTTTGTTCTACCATTCTGTTGTAGATTATAAGCTCCATCACTTTTTTAATCCTTGTAATTTTTTTCCCCAGCAGTATTCATGATATGCATTGAAAGGAATTTTACTCTGATATCATTATTCACATTTTTTTTTTCTTTTAAATTTTAACAAAATTTGTCTGCATAGTATACCAAGCTAATTCAATATGCCATGGTTAATTATTTTGATACTTATTTTAAAATTTAACTTGTTTTATTGCAGATTTTTTAACTTTGGTCGTGATTTGATCATCTAATAATTTGTCAGTATTATTGATTTTTTATTTTATTTTAATTATACAGTCAAACCCCGCTATAGTGAACACGGTTTATAGTGAACTCCCGGATATAGTGAACGAAATGTTCGGTCCCGTGCCTTGCTATACATGTATNTTGTAGAGCATCACGGAAATTGGAGCATTTTGTTCTACTACCATTCTGTTGTAGATTATAAGCTCCATCACTTTTTTAATCCTTGTAATTTTTTTCCCCAGCAGTACTCATGATATGCATTGAAAGGAATTTTACTCTGATATCATTATTCACATCTTTTTTTTAATTTTAACAATATTTATCTACATAGTATACCAAGCTAATACAATATGCCATGGTTAATTATTTTGATACTTATTTTAAAATTTAACTTGTCTTATTGCAGATTTTTTAACTTTGGTCGTGATTTGATCATCTAATAATTTGTCAGAATTATTGATTTTTTATTTTATTTTAATTATATAATTTTTTATTATATTTGCTATTTTTTTAATTATTTTTTTAATGATGGCATTTAAAAAGCTCTTTTACTTGAGTAACAGACTTATGATGGAACTATTATGTTAACTTTTTTCTACCTCTACTTTAGATTAGTAAATCTATTCTTGGTTTGTATTTTTTCTAGTTTAACAATTGTCAAACTAGAAGATCAATTGTAATCATTGTTATTTGATCTTTTTTAATTTTTCTTCCTTTATAAATTGCATCAATTCCTTAGCTATTTAATATGATTTTGTTTATGTTCAATAGTTAATGAGTTTTTTTCTATTTTTGCTTTTATAAAATTGCTAATGAAAATTACTAATTATTCCATTTAGAATTGTTCAAATATTTAGAGAAAATATTAATAAATTTTAGATATGGGATTTATCAGATCCTCAGGGAAAAGGTTTCCTGGATAAGAAAGGGTTCTATGTTGCCTTGAAATTGATTGCCCTGCATCAGAATGGGAAAGACATAACATTGTCAAATATGAGTCTTGATATACCACCTCCACAATTGGTAAGCATAAATGATTACTATTTTATATGCTCAGTATGAAGTTATTTAAGTTGTTTTAGTTGCTTAATATTTGGTTTTTACTGTTGCAGAATATGTAAGTCTAATGAATAAAACTTTTTTTATTTCTTTATTTTTTGTGAGAAATTATTGCACTATTATAAATTTTTTAAAGTCATTTTCCTAATTATTGACTTGTTAATCAAGTTTTAATGACTTGGATTATTTTTAATGCTCAATTTAAACAGCCTCTGCGTTAATGATTTATATGCGTTTTTGTTTGGAAGCATTTAATTTCAAATGCTCTAATTTTTTTATATATTTTTCTCAAAACTACATTTTTCATTTCTTTATGGATTATCTGTATTGTCAATTTAGATAAGAATTTGCTAATATGTTTAATATTAAGTAGGTCTTTTCTATAATGATCCTGTTCGGTATGAACGAAATGACTTTGAACCTAATGCATTACAAACCCATAAAGATATGTCTTTTCAAATGATATTTTTTTCTTCAATCTACAGTATTTATTTTATTTATCCTAAAAATTTTGTTATTCAGTTGAACTTGCTTTCTTAATTATGTATGTGCTTTTGGTTTACATAATGATTTCAGTTAAGGAAAAAGTTAATGCGAATGCAAAGCAATGTAAGTTATGTGATGTAATGATTTAGAAAATCTCTCAAAAAATATTTTTGGTGCATAGAATAAGTGATGCAGCAGTTTTTTTTCTTCTCTTTTTAAAACTTTGCATTTAATTTCCATTTTTGTTAATGGAAAAATCAATTGTAGTCATACATTTGTTATGTTTTGCCAGAATTGAAACACAATCGTACCAAAAATTATACATTTATATTGGTTTAATTTTGCTTTGCATGTAGTGATCGAAAAAATAATTCTAAATTAGATCTATAAATCCAATAATGAGATTGAAAAGCATAAGTTTTGCTATCAGCACGTTGCAATCATGCAGTCACTTGTTGGCATGACATCGGCAGCAAAGATGTTAAGGAAATTTCAAATTTTTTTTTTTAACATTTTCTTATTGGTATTTTTAGATTTGGAAATTTTGTTTTGAAAATTGCAAATATAATTACATTTCCAAGAAAATTGACTGAATGATTTAGAGTGGATAAATAAATCATTTCTAGTTTTTTCTTCTTAAAAAAGATTTTTTCTGTTTAAATTATTTTGCTACTGATGAAACAAATTAAACTATTTTCCTACAAAATGTTATTTGAATATGGATAAACTTATTGCTTCTTTTTTCTGTAGCAAACCTTAAGTGGAAGAAATTCTCCAGCTATTGATTGGAATATTAAGGTTAGAATGATTAAATTTTTTTAAAAAAAGAAATAGTAGCTACTGTAAATTAAAACTTAGAGTGTTTTATAATTCTTGGCATTTTTTTTTTAAATAGGCATCTGAGAAAAAGAAGTATGAAGAAATGTTTTACTCTATGGGACCCATTGCTGGAAAATTACCTGGGGACAAAGTGAAACCAGTAATGCTTTAATTATTTGTCTCTTTAGTGATATTTTATAACTTTGTGTTATTTTATATAGCCTAAAAATCCTCTATTTACAGGTTATGTTGAATTCTAAGCTACCTTTAGATGTTTTAGGCAAAGTAAGTATTCTATTGATATCAATTAAAAAATTTATTAGCCTAGCAAAATAAAATTATACTAGGCTAATAAACTGTTAGTGGCATTTCATATTAAAAGTTTGTTTTGGCATATTTTATTATAATTTTGTATTCTTAAAAATTTACTACACATTAAATGTAAAATGATCCAAATTTCATAAATATTTTAAGACTTCATTATTTTTCTCGGAACTGGTACTTGTAAAATTTATTTTTATAGCTTAAATGGAAGAAAATGGTATTTGTGATACTGAGGATGTTACTTACATTTTAATATCTGGAGTTCGGGAATGCAATAAACTTAAGACATTGCATATTTTTTTTTTTTTTTTTTTTTTTNTTTTTTTTTTTTTTTTTTTTTTTTTTTTTTTTGTGAATCTACCTATAAGACTTCAGTATGTGCATCAGATGTTTTTAGATTGATGTTAAATAGATGTTTTAGATAGACGTTTAGGCCTAATGCTATTTTTTAACAGTACTACAAAGCATCTCATTAAATAAATAAATTTTTTGTTAATTTAAAAATTTGCCATTGACTCAAACTTTTTCAGGTGATCAGTCTGCAACTTGGTTTGATAAGAATTTTTTTTTATGTTGATCTTTTACTTGTATTATGTATTTATATTTTTTGTTAATTTAAAAGTAAATGCAGTCATGCTAGTGATTCCTATTTTTTCAAGAATATTTTATCCCTTTAGTACTGCCTGCCTAAAATTATTTCAAGACAAATTGTATTAAAACCTAATCTGAGTAAATAAGAACATTAGTCCGAGTGATAAACTGGCCTAAAAAATTGGTTTTAGTTGTAGCCATTTTTTTTAAGAATATGAAAAAACAGAAAATAAATCGAACTAATCCTTTGGTGCACTATTTTTTTTCAAGCACTGGCAATAAATTTAATTTACAATAGTATTTCCAAATACATTTGACTGTTAATAATTGTTTTTTGATGATTTTGTGTGTGATTGACTCTGGCAATAAAATTTTGTAAAAAAAATATGATATAATATTTATATGGAACCCCTCTCTCATTTTTTTAATATGTATAATTTTATGAATAGGTTAATCCACTAAGATTTGAGTTAGACTGACTCTTTTAAGGAAGTGTCTTTATAATTTTCAATTGCAAATAGGATTTAGTGCTTTTAACTTGTCAATCTATTGCCTTTTTTGTTTCACTTTTTTTTAAAATTTGTTTGTAATAAGTGTTTAAGTGCAGTGAAACTAACATGCAGGATGTCTATGTCCTTTATCTTAATTTAGGAACTACTTCAGCAATAGTAATAAAGTTGTCTCCATGTTTAATAGAGTGATTATGCACTACATTAACGCCACCACATAATGAGTTTAAGGACATAATAAGGATAATAGTCCATTAGCAACTCCTCCTCATGACATTTCCACATGATACCTCCTCAATAAATTAAGTTAACGTTCTAGTTATGAATTTGGAGTAAGATAATTGAAAAAGAGTGAATTACTAAATTGTAGAGCATCACGGATTTAGTACCTATTGGCACCTTGTGTACATTAATGTTATAAACAAAACATTTTAAATATGTATTTATTATTTGCGCTTTTCTGCGCAATAACAGTACAGAACAAAAAACCTACAACTTATCACAAGATACTTCTTTTTTTTCAATGTACTCAGTTTAATGAAAGTTTGAATTAAGGAAAATTAACTATGTATTGTGATAACTATTTATTCTTTCTTTCAAAAAAGAACTTTCATTTTCTTTCTAACATTATTTCTTCATAATTCAGTATCGAAAATCATTAACAAGCAAATACACATTTGAAGTGTTCTTTTCTGAGCATCAATTTTCACAAGGTCACAACTCAATGATGGTCTACAACTTTGCAATTTACTTTTATTTTTTTTATCTCTCCATTTTTTGAAATAAGAACACTAACTTTGAAGTTTCTTGAATGATGAAGTTTGGAAGCTCTCTCTGGTAGTTGTGGTCTTATCTAATAGTGACTGTCTATACCCCCGGCACCATTTTTATAACTACAGCTGAAATCGTTTGAAAGTTACGAATGATATCTAGTGAATAAATAATATTTTGTAAAAATTTATTCTGTTCATTATTAAATAAATTAAAAAATAATGATATTTGTTTTTATTTTAATAAATGGACATTTCTGGAACTAATTCTGTCTCTAGATTTATAGAAAATTGAAATTCTTTGCTCTGCTTTCAGATATGGGATCTGAGTGATACTGACCAGGATGGCTTTTTGAGTAAAGAGGAATTTATACTTGTATGTTCATTTTTTTCCCATCCTTTATCTAACTATTGTTTAGCATCATAATAATTTTACCCTAATATTTTATTGTAGGCAATGCATTTAGTTTATAAAGCTTTAGAAAATATACCTGTTCCTGCTGTTCTGCCTCCTGAGTTGATGCTGATTTTAAAAAGAAAACAGAGTATAACAGGAATGGTTCAAGTTCTTCCAGATGTTTTGCCTCAGGGAATAGATAATAATGTTTCTGCTCGTATAAGGCGATCTAGCACACCTTCATCTGATGTATGTGTTTCATTCTTTTTCTCAACTATTTCCAATTTATTGTATGTTGTGAAATTAACTTTCAGAAACTGTGAACTTTAAGTAATTAGCAATTAAGTTCATAAGAAAGTATTTTAATAACAATTTACTGAAGAAAGTCTTCTGAACTTATTGTGTGTTAATGTTTATATTACTTATTGTAATGTGTGCCTATGTTTTGTTTAAACAGTTTTTAACCAATTTAATGGAATGAAAGGGTTAATTTTGTAGATTTTTCTAAATTGCTTTTTCATTAACAGCCGATAGTTTTTTATTATGAATAACTTTTAATATTAAGTCAGAAAAGGTAAAGATGAGCTGATAGGGGTTTATGATTGTAAAAGATTTTGAAGTTGGAGATCACTTATACATTAATTATGTTAATCATTTTTTTATTTTTTATAACTGAATCATCTTCTCTTCCTACATCATCTTTTATAGCTAAAAAAAAAAAATTAACTATATAAGGAAAAGTATATAATGTTATTGAAATAATAATATAGAACCAATTGTAGTATTATTTATCACAGAAAATTTCGATAAAAATTTAAGTTAATTACTAGATCTTTAACGATACTTTATTAATTGGAATAATACAAAATTTCGACTGACAATCGATCTTTGGCTGTATGATTGCCAAATAAAACATTTTAATCTGTATTATGTACTAAATTTGCTGAAATATTGAAATTCTGTTCTAGATTGTAGGAAGGGGCTCAACATGGATAATCAGTGCTATAGATAAAGCTAAATACGACGAAAAATTTCACATCCTAGATACTGATAAGGATGGTTTTGTGACTGGAATGGATGTTAAAGACACATTTTTAAAAACTGGACTTTCTCAAACTGTACTGGCTCATATATGGTAAACATAACTGAATTTCTTCATACTTAATTTGTTATTTATGATAGATTTATAAGAGTGTAGGTAATTTGTATTTTACTGTAGTCTTAAAAAAGCATATCAAATCTGTAAAAGGAAATAATTATTTCAAAAAGTTTTTTTCTTCAAGTGATCTGAAGTCTGTCTAGAGTTGTATAATTAATTCAAGTTTTTCGTAAATACTATCAGGGCCCCGATGTAATGAACCTCTATTTACCAAATTTTGCCATTCAAAATTTTTTTCCTTACAGACTTAACTCTCTATTTAACAATTTATAAACTTCAGATTTTTTTTTCTTCAAGTGGTCTGAAGTCTGACTTAGAGTTGTATAATTAATTCAAGTTTTTTGTAACTACTGTCAGAACTCCGATGTAACGAAGCTCTATTTACCAAATTTTGCCATTCAAAATATATATATGTATATGAATCAGTGTCTTCTTTTTCATTAGGAATTTATGTGATATTAAACAAAATGGAAAATTAAACTCAGAACAGTTTGCATTGGCAATGTATCTTGTACAACAAAAACTACAAGGAATGGAAATACCTACAACCCTATATCCTGAAATGGTACCTCCTACTATGAGGCCGAAACCTTCATCTGATATTGCACAGGTAACTCCTAGTCTTATTTATTTACTGACTTTTACACTTTTAATATAAAAATCATTGCACTATCTCTACTTATTTAAGGAATTTATTCATTTTTTAAAATTGTAAACGATTAAAAATATGATAATTTAATAATTTGCCTGAAAAGCAAAACAGCATCTTGAACTGTAAATTATTTTGAAAATAGTTGAGTTAAATATCAGTTAGTAAATTTTAACCATATTAGTCAAATTTGTTTATAATTCAAAGTTGCAGACCAAAATTAACTCATTAAATCAAGGTATTCATAAAACTTTAATTGGCCGAAACAATTATCTCAAATGAAAGGACTATAATGCTCAAAATAGGCTAGAAATGCTTAAAAATTGGTTATTTTTACAATGAAGGGGGAAATGTTTGAGCTTTGTTTTTCATTTAATTTTGCTTTTGTCATCAATTGTTTAACATCCAAAACTTATGATGATAAATACATGATCTCTAATATCTTGAGAGCAAAAGTGGCTGTGTGTTGAGCATGAAATCATTTTATTTAAGGTCTCTATTTTCTCATACTTTAAAACATTTTTAGCATTATTTTTAAGATATTTATTTATTTAAGATATTTATTTATTCATATTATTATTTATGGAAAAAAAACACTTTCCTTTTAGCCAAAATTATGTAGGTATTAAATGAATGCAATATTTAAAAAGAAACTGCAAGATATGATTCACATGAATTTGGTTGGAAAAATAAAAGTAGACACATGATTTGTAGAAATAACAAATTGTAAAATTTAACCTAAGTGCATTATAACCCGCTTTGTTTTTAGTAGATTTTCTTATTTTATTTACTTTTCCCTTAACTATTAAATTTTTATTATAATAAATCTAAAGTTTTATAAGAACATCTACAGTTAAAATAATTACTAATGATTATTATACATTTATTTTTATATTTACACTCTTTACGAGCTCTATAAACAAAACAAGTTATTTAAATGGTATATAAACGTTAAATTTTTTTAAGAACTTTGTTTTGGATAATGTACCATAGTTGACTTTTAAAAGATTTTAAAAATTAGTAAAGGATACTGGTTTGGGAGAATCAATATAGGAATATGTCATATTATTTTTTAAGTATTGATAATTAGTCATACATGTCTTTACAACTGTGATTGAATATTTAGTTTTTTTTATTAATGCAAAATTTTTTTGAAATTGTAAACATTTGATTTCGACCTATTCGGTTATTTAATGTAAAAGTAAAAGCAAAGACTTGCCTTATTTAAGGCAAACACTATAATAAAATGTTTAAAAATTGCTAAAATAATTATTAAAAATTTTGCAGAATTGCTCACAAGATGGCTGACCTAGTTGATTCTGTTTAAGTTTTTTTTTAGTTTTATAACTTAAATTTTTCAAAACTATTCTAAGACAAATTTTCTAAATTTACGAAGTGATTACTAAATCTTCAAATAATCTAGCTATGTAACATTATTTAAAAACATATATTTCTGTTGAAATTTAAATGCAATTTTTCTTTTATAGGATGTCATTTTGCCCATAACATCTGATGCGGAATCTTCTGGTAATAAAGAATTGGATATGATTAGTGGTGAAATTAAAGAGCTTCAAATGTGAGTTTTAAAAACATTTTTAATTCAAAAAAGCATTGTGAGTTTTAAAACTTTTACAATTATTTTCTTATTTTTAAGTCCTGTGACGAAAAATAAAGTTGATTTAAAAAATTTATTAAAAATAACAGTTAGTAGGTCATCTCTTTTATATCTCGCTTATATCTGTTTATCATATATCTTTTATATTATATTTTGCTGCTAAATCTTAGATGAAAGTGGTTACTATTAGCCTTACCTTAATTTTAATCAAAAATTTGTATAAATTCATCAGAGAAGTCAATTTATTAAAAAATAATTGCAATGATATCAGTTTGCAAAATTTAACAGCATTCATTAATTAAATAAAATATTATTAATTTAACAAGGTTTTGTTTAGTGCAACATTAGAAATCTTGATGTATATATCTTTTAGTCTTTTTTTTTTCTCCTTTTTTTAAGAAAATTTAGCAAATCCAAAACTATGCATTACCAACTAGTTACAACAGTGTTAAATAAAATGAATTTTACTAACGTACAGAATCTTTCAATGCATCATACAATATCACTTTTTATTTAGCTGAATATTTTTCATTGGTCAAGATAGTGTAAAGATTTCTCTTCAATCCATGACTTTCTTATTGAATAAAGGAAAAAAAAAATTGGTGTTTCAAATAGAAAAATAAATGCAAGGAAGTGTTAGGGTGTCACAAATGCTCAGTCAGTAAATGTCCCTTGTCCTGAAATCATTTTATTTATCTTAAGCCATAGAATTGTGTAAATACATTATTTGTATTTTAAGCTGATTGTGTTTGATGATTAATGAGATAAATTATTTTTAAAAATTAATCAAAATACCTCAGAAAATTAAAATTATTTTTTTATTTGTTTTCAGATTCTGTTCTGTAAATGACTTGAACATATTTTATTTATCTAATATTTACTGAAATATATGTGCAAGTTTTCCTTCTGTATTGAATTGTGATTTTTTTTTTTACCTCACTTGGAAATTTTTGGTTTTAAACTGTTCCATTTAGAATAATTTAAAATATTTTTTATTATTTGCAGCAATGATTTAACCCTAGATAACTAAACCTTTGTCTAATAAACTACCGACCCCTACCAGTTTTGAGAATTCGAGATGTTCCTTTTACGCTTACAGCCTCATTTAAAGTATCTTCATAACTAGTAAAATGAGTTATTCTGAAGGTGATTAGCATGACTCTACACTTGTTACTTTTCGTGATTTGCTGTAACCCTCGTCTAATAGTCAGTATGTAGTTGATGTAACAGTCATTAAAATAAACAATGAAGATGATTTAAATGTTTAAAACCCCATCGAAGACACTATTAAAACTGCAGCAATCAAGCACAGAATTTATACTTTCTTTCCATTGAAGAAACGTAGAATGGCATAATTACGTATGCAACTACTGCAACAAGGTTATTTTTGGAGAGCACACTTTTAACATCTACCTAGAGTGCAAATGATAATTTTAACCATGTTTCTACTTTTGAATTGTAATTTTATAATACTTTTTTGAAAGTTATGCTAAATTGTTTGAAGTAAAAAACAATTTGTTTTTAATTTATGGTTTATTAAACAAATAATTAGTTACAGATTATCACTGATTTAAGTCTGGTTCTCTAGAGCTAAAAAAAAATTTTGAGAAGTTTTTCTAGCAAATTTATTTCAATATTCTAAATGTCATAAAAGTTCGTAACAAAAGTGTTTTTTGATAAATCTGTAAATTCACTTTTATATTAACTAATGTTGTAATTTTATATTAACTAATGTAATGATCTGAGTCAATCACTAGTAGTCTCTTACAGACGTCTGTTGATTTTTAGTCATTCTAGTACTAGGCTTTGCCCAGTGGCTGAGTGATAGAGTTTTGCTCTCTTGTGCCACAAGTCCTGGGTTCGATCCTCGAACCAGGCAAGGTAAACTCGGCCTTTCATCACTTTAGTTGGTCAATAAAATGAGTAACAAGCATGTTTGGAGATTAAATACTGAGGGTTCTGCTTTTGGCTGTCACGCCACTGAGTTTAGTTTAGTATTAATCCCTAAAACCCTTTAGTTAGGAGTAAATGATGAAACCCTTTTTATATATATTTTTTTTTGTAGATTATGTTTAAATATTTTTTATTGAAACTAGATTTTTCTTACAAGCTTGTGTTTGTGGTAGATGTTTATTACTTGTGTTTATATTGCAGATTGCGTTAAGATATTTTTTATTTTTATTGAAACTGAATTTTTTTTTCAGGGAAAAAATGACACTAGAAAAAGATCTTGCACAGAAAGAGGCAGATGTAAAAATTAAGAATGGTGAATTGAAAAATCTACAAAATGAACAAGATGCTTTAGAAACTATGTTGAAGCAGTTAGAAATACAAAAAGGAGAAGCACGCAAAAGATTGAGTGATTTAGATAAACAGGTATTAAAATTAGAGGTTAAATTGTGACTTATATTTTTTTCCCTGTACCTTAAACAAGTTCTGATAAAAATGTAACACTTAATAAGTCCTATGCCTATAGTTATAAATAAATAAAATTTGATAACAGGTGCACTGTATGACAATTGCCATTTTATGTTCGATATTGTATAATTAGTCATCGTATAAAATTCTATTACTGTATTCTTTTTTAGGATTTTCTAATTATCTATTTTAACCAAATGTAAACTGTACCTTTAAAATAAAATCAGTATATTCTTTTACGTTAAAATCAATTTATTCCCCTAGATTGAAATTAGTAAGTAATATGACTAAGTAGTCTTGTTTATTGTGAAGTTACTTTATTTGGAAAAATTTAGAAATAAATAGTTTAAAAAATCAAAGTATGTTAATCTATTACTTTTTTATGGTTCAAATTGTTTGATATTTTACTTCTTTTGTAGTTCATTAAGTTGTAAAATATTTAATTCTTTTATCTTCAGTTTTATTTTTTTTGCAAAGCACATACAACTCTATAGATATGCTAAATTACTTAAAAATTACTTAATTGCTAAATTACTTAATTATAATCAAAGCATTTAATAAGTTTTTTCTAAATGTTGGTATTTAAAAACCATTTATTTTCCTCTTAAATTTTTTTTTTCTGAATGTTAACTATAAATATTTTATTAAGAGATGAAACAAAATCTAGGCCAAATGAAATATTTTTTTTTTTTTTACTTTTAAATTTTGCTGCTATTGCAAATTTTTATCTGAAAAGTAATTGATTAGCTTCTAATTTTTAGATTACATCTAATTCAATGCTATAACTTCTGCATTCAAACAAATTTCATTAAACCTTTTATGAATAGAAAGTAAATAATACAAAAATTTTATAAAAGGAGCACTAAAATCATTCTGCCTCTTATTTTTTATTAAGGAAATTTATAAAATTTTATCAGTAATTTATATATATATATAAAGAGACAGTTGTATCTGGAATAGCTTAAAGAGTAATCTTTAATGTATTTTTCATACTGTCATTATCGTTATTCTTAGTGGCTGGTGCAGTATAGCCTCTTCTGGGCTCTTGTGTTTATAAACTCTATCCAACCACACAAACTTTTAATTATTATTTTAATTTTATTCAAATAGTAAAAAAAAAAAAAAAATTCTTTCATTTATATTAGACTTTTAGTGAAAAATCTTCATTTTTTTTTCAGTTTAGTTTTTGTATTAGTTTATTGCCACTAAACCTATATGAAGTTTGCCTGCATCCAACTTCTGTGATTTTAAAAAGCCATATTGTTTTTAACAGTTTCCTGAGAAGTCAAATACATCTTACGCGCTAAAGTTTGATTAAGAAAGTGAAAAGCCATCATAGAATTATCTTTGAATTTTTTTTTTTTTTTTGGAAAATAAATTGTATTTGTATAATATGATATAATCTTTGATTTGCACAGAAAAGTGTGTTAACTGAAATGTATATGATTTAATTAATGTTAATTTTTATCACCTTTATTATTTATACTAATGAAATATTTTGAAAACCATTAAATTTTTCTTTTGCTACTTATAAATAATTATTTATTTCATTTCATTTTGCTTGCTTTATATTTTTTAATTTATTGGTTTTAAAGTTGATAGATAATTGTTAAAAAAAGTTTTTTTTTTTATTCTGTTCTGTCCTGCATGTATTAGAAAAACTCCTTAGACCTTACCCTTAGTGAATTGATGGTTCAAACTGAAGATGAAGTCAATAAGGTAGCTAGTTGTTATTTTATTTTTTTCTGTTTAAATCTTTTTTTTTTTAATTTTTTTAAAAAGTTCTCATTTTGTATCTTTTCTCTTAGCTCTTCCTCATTTTCCACATAATTCTGAAGCTTCAGCTGCATTTTTTTAAAAACATTTTTTAAAAAAATATTCTCTTGCTTGATTTTGAATTATATCAATATTTAATATTGTGCTCAAAATATTATTTATTAATTAATCCTTAAAATGATGGTAAGGTAAAACTCTCCTTTTAATTTTTGACACTAATATGAACCTCTAAAACTGTTTTATCTTTCAACTACTTTGAATGTTGAAAGATATAAAGATTAATCATATCACTTCATTTTAAACTGGTATATGATTAACTACAAATCATATAACTCATCTTGACTAAAGTTTTGGTTCAAATTTTTCTTGATTAAGTGTGATAAAAAAAATATCAGAAGAATAACTTATTATATAAATTTGCCTTTCTTATGTATCTTGAATAATATCACTATACTTTAATTCTATATATCTAGAAATCAATTCTATTTTAAACGAATTTAAAACGTTTCTTTTATTACTAAGTTCGGATTCAAATTTAATTTTTTACCAATGGGATACCTGTATTTGTTTACGTTACAACTGTTCTTTAAATTCTATTTTGTGTAATTTTAAGTCAAACGTAAACCTACAGATAGTGTCACAATACTTTTGAATGCCTCAAGTTGTATAAAATTAGAGAAAAGAAAAACAATTCTATTCACCAAAATCACAGTTACGTAAATTATGTTAAATCAAAAATATCCTAATATTTTTCATATTATCATAATAATTTCAAAAATTGATATCAACTTTGAACTCAGCGAAAATTCTTTTGGTGAAAAACCTGGAAAAACGTATTCTTTATATTTTTTGTTGTATCATTCATAACTTGTCTATAGTATCACACGCAGTATTCATTTAAATCTGAAATAGAGTAATTTTACCCAGTCAATTATATTGTTAAAACACCTGCTTACAACATTGTGCAAGTTTTATATTGAAATCTATATTATATAAAACGCTAATACGTATGTATGCATCAATAATACCGATGATATTTCTTTTCTCGCGTTGGCAACAGTTTTAATTTTTAATTGATTGGCTTCGGCGCGCGAGAGCACGTAGTGAGCATCATATGGCTAATCTATATTATATAAAACGCTAATATGTTTTAATTGATAGGCTTCGGCGCACAAGAGCACATAGTGAGCATCAAATGTCTAATCGGGTGAATTCTCACAGAATTATCAAAAAAATTCTCACAAAATTATCTTCATCGAAGCCGATACTTTACATCAGGCGTTCAGTACTATTTCATATTGTTTTACAACACATGGTTTTAGCCCTCTGGTGGGAAAGACTTTAAAACAAAACTTACAACAGTTACTTTTCTCAACAACTGAAATTTAGAATAGTGTGATTAAGAAAAATATGTGAACTGTTTGCAATTTCAAATTAATATTGAAATGCACAGGTTTAGAATTTTCTACAGTGAATGGTTTTCGGAACTTCAGTATTCACAAAAGTATACAAAAGCTAGACGTTAGGAATGAGCGAGCAAAGTGAGCATCGGATTGCGAAGCAATTCGAATATTGGGTTATCTCTTTCTATCTCATTGCACTCACATATTTTTCAAGAAAAAGTTATTCTCCTTTACAAAATGAACTTTCATAGTTGAAGGGTACTAAAGTTAGCCTAACTATCTGGAAACTGTCATAATGGGATTTAAAGTTGTATTATGAATCCACCTATAATAACCACTAGTATTGGAAATTATTTTTCTTCTGAAATGCTGTTTTTTTGTGAATTTTGATGAATAAATACAGTTATAAATTTTATTTTATTAGAGCTCAAAGTACATTCAATGTACTCTTCTGACATACCATACCACTGAAATACCTTGTTCCATCGATTGGCACACATAGGTGAATCCTATGATAATCACTAGCCTTGGAATTTATTTCTGAAATTCTGTTTTTTGGGAATTTTAATAAATAAATACAGATATAATTTTTTTTATTTGAGGACAAAAGTACTTCAAGTTGTACTTTTCTGGCATACCACTGAAAAACCTGTCATATTTCTTCTATTGTTATGTGTGCCATAGATTAACCTTTTCTGCCCTAGACTGACTTATGTCCTTAATCAATATGAAGATATTGTGACATGACTTTTGAATTCTCAGAAAAATAATGTGTTCAATAATTACTTTGATTTTTTTTAACACAAGTATACTTTGAATGAAATACAACTGATCTGAACTTATAAAGTATAATTATGAAAACACACCGCTACAAGTTTCTGAAAGAAATCTGCTTTTCCTTAAAAAATTTTGGTATGCAATGCAAAAAACAATGATCAGTTGACATATTGAGCAGCTAAAATCTTCCATAGTTTAGTAGAAAGGAATATTTGCAGCCCCTAAAAAGGGAAGTAATGAGCTGTGAAGAAAGAATGAAATTTATGAGAGTGAGTATGAGCAATATATTAATATCATTGTGGAACATAGGTCATTGACAAAATGTAAGTATGAGGAAAAAAATTGAATGAAGGAAATAAAATTAATGTATCGATGGAGGATGCTATAAATGAAGTTCTTTAAACTGACATGAGTTCTTTAAACTTAGACATTTCAGAAGTCATATTTACATAGCTACCAACTCTACTGGTTTAATTAAAATTCTCCTGGGTTTTTTTTACATTTTTGAAAATTTCCTAAGTTTCCTGAAAAAAATCCCTATTGAAATAGAATTTTTGTACAGATTATTGCTTGAATATTTAACTAAGTATTACTAAGACATAATGAAGCGAATCTCATTTATAGAAATCAGTTCACAACTTTTTTTGTTATAAAAATATTGAGTTTGTTTTTATTTTGAACTCTCTTTCTAAATTAATTCATAATCTTTTAGCTATCTTCGGTGAATTAAATGCCTTTTAATATTCAAAATTATGAGTATACGTGATACATAACATTTCAAGTATGTTTAAAGTAGATCATAACTAAAAAATCTGGCAATTTTTGATGACTATAAAAATACCTAAAATTCCTTATGCGTAAAATATTTAGTACATTATGCAACAATTATCATGAAATTTTTATTTTGTAAAATATACTGGATTTTTTTCCTATCCATGTTGACTGTTATGTTTAGATTATGTTTAAGTTTTTTTTTATTGTGTTGATCTTTAGTTTTCTCTGAGTATAATTTATGTTGTTTGGGAAGTATAAATTTTAATTTTAAAAATTTTATTTTTATTTTTTTATTTAAAGCATTGAGGTGAGCTTTGTTAATTATGATTTTATGTTTATCATCCAGCAAATATCTGGCTTTAACACATTAGGTAAAATTCAACTCCCGAAGTTTGGGAGAAATGTGCCAAAAAATAGGTAAACACATACAATCCAACATGGACAGTTGAAATTTCTTTGCTTTGTTTCTAGAATTCTGTCATAATTTTCCCTACCATTTCCTTTAAAATCGAAACAGTAAAAAATGTTCCTTTAATTGTTTTTCAATGAAAAACAAACTCAAGATTTCTTCACTATTGATTAATCATTCAAAGCCTGTCACCACTGAAAAAAGATTGGACACTACTTCAACAGAAGAATCTATTTCACTGCCAGTTGAAAAGGAAGAAGATGGATTTTCTCCAGAAGTAAAGCTATTCTTTGGGACTTGATGTCATTTGTTTGTCTTGCAAATGACTTAATTTGGTGGTTGCATTTTGAATATTGTGCTTTAAGTATAGTTTTTTGCTTTACTGAGTCATTACTCAAGACTAAAGCTCCTTATAAGTTATTAACATTAGCTCCTCCTTAGAGAGTCCCATGTAATCCAAGAGGTGCTCAGGAGAAGCCTGATGAATTTGGCACTTGGTGCCGGTGGCGAAGGTTTTCCTGCCCTCGTTGAAAGTGAGGCACTTGATGTGACCACTAGCAAGCTTTGATAGAACAGTCCGAGTACGTCTGTCACACGGGAGGTCAAGGGACAAACCCGGTCCGGTTTTGATCCCTTGTAGCAATTATGGGTTGGGGGTGTTTTCCACTCCTCCGAGATTTTTGATTTTTCCAGAGAGTATAACTCCAAAAAAGTGCGAGAATGTAATTATAAAATGCTAATTGTATTAATTTTCATATTGTTAGAGAGAAAATGTTTTTTAGCACACTATCAAAAAGTTCAAGTTCTGTTTTTACTATGCTTATTTCAAAATAATTAACAAAAAAGAAACTTTCTTTTTATTTATTTTTTTATAAAAAAATATATTTCGATAAATTTTATTCTTTGCTATACATGCCATGAACTGAATTGGTATTTTTAAAACATATTTTTTTCTTTAAACACAGTTCTATCCTATTTTTTTAATTGTGTATGTTTTTTTCCTTAACAGATTGATGCTATGAAGAAACAGAAAGAGGAACAAGAAATGGAATTAGAGGTTTGTTGTTAAAAATTTAAATTGATTTTGTCAAATATTTAGTCTTTTAATTTGTTAAGATTAATTAAATGATATTATTTCAGTATATTGTTTGAACAATAAAATTTATGCTTATTTAGGTACAAGAAAAGGAACTCAATGAAAAGCGGGTGGAATTGAATGAGTTAAGGAAGGAAGAGTCCCAGATGGAAAGCAAACTCAGTTCAGGCAAAACTCAACTTGATGCATTGACTTCTTCTTTACAAAGTAGCACTCTTCAGATAAGTCAAGTAAATAATTTAGTATTACTTAATATTATTTATTAAATTATAGCTTATTTTTAAAAGTACTTGTAATTATAAAAGACAAATAATCCACTTTAATGCAATAACAATAGTAAATTAAAAATAATACATGAAAACACAAAAGTATCATTCTCTCTTAATCTAACACATATATTTTCTCCTTTTCATTTTGCTTATTTGGCTCGAAGAATGAGTTTGAAGCACTGAAATTTATCCACTGTAAAAAAGCAATAAATCTTTTTTACTTGTCTCTACTTATTTGTTATTTATTCATTTATTTTTTTAAAATAAATTTAAAGCTCATTTTATAATTTGCTTTTTATGGAGAGAGAAAAAGATATAAACACAGCCTTTTTTATCCTTTTTCTTTTTAATTTTTTTCAAAATAAATTTCAAGCTTATGTAAGCAATTTAATTTTTGCATATTTGCTAAAGTGATAGTTCACAAAAATTGTACTTTTCATATTCCTACGTTATGCTTTTCAATCATATCCTCTGCTGCATTATTATGTTTTTGAAAATTGAGCTTTGAGCTACTTGTTGAAAAAATTTGACAGCTTAAAATATTTCCAACTTAATTCATCTTTGTAAATTTTTTGTTGAAAACAATTAAAGTTGCCTTGTTTGTGTATTTTTGTCCAGATTAAAATTAAAATTGATCAAATACAAGCCAAATACAATGCAGCACGGGTTAATGAGTAAAGCTATCAAGGATATGGATAAGGAATTTAATTTTCAGGGATGAGATTCTTCCGCGGATTCGCGGATTTCCGCTTTTTTTTTCAGATTTTTCCATTTTTCCCGCTAATTTCCGCTGAAATTGTTTTTTGCACAAGTTAAAATATTTTATGAGGAATTTAATTTTCCGCGGAGCGAAATTATTGAAGTCCTTATTCCTCCCTCTGAAGTTTCTCTAAAAATCATTTCCTTGGGATAAAACTGGTTGACCTTTATACAGGGATGAGATTTTTTTTTGTCTCTCGAATTTCAGCCTTTTTAACATAAACTCCGATTCTCTAAAAGTTTCGTTTTTTTTATAAATATCCCGCATTTTTTTTTTTTAAATTCAGAAGTATAAATGAAGTAAAATAATTATATTTATTTATGATTTTCAAAGATAAACAGAAAATTAAATCTACGCCCTATCTGCTAACCCTTCCGCATTTTTACTTATATTGGCTATTTTCTCCGATTTCACGCACAGAAAATAAGATTTTCCGTATTTTTTATCCGTCTGCTGGATATCTCGTATTTTCGTAATTCTGACGTCGCTGCTTCTTGTATTCTGGCGTCAAAAGAAAAAAGAGAGGGAACCGAAATAGAGGTGTATTTGCTGTGAAAATATTTTTTTGCTCATTCAATTAATCTTGCAAATTTTTATTTATTATGTCTAAACAAAAACAATACAAACAAGCCTTTTAGAAATCCCAAGTCCAGACTCTGCAAATATCTCGATTTCTATTCACACGATTTTAATATCAATCATCGATTTTCGTATTTACCTGATTTAAAAGTTGCGCATTGCGATTCTTATTTACGCTATTTAAATATCGTACATTATGATTCTTATTTACGAGATTTAAAAATCCAATATCGTGTTTTGTATTTATGCATTTTTAAAATCGCGATTTTATTATCAAACATCGATTTTCGTATTTACCTGATTTAAAAGTTGAACGTTGCGATTCTTATTCAGGCGATTTAAATATTGTACATTGCGATTCTTACTTACGAGATTTAAAAAATCAATAGCGCGATTTGTATTTACGAGCTCTTAAAACCCTACGTAGCAATTCATATTCACGCGAGCTTAAAATCCAATGTCGTGATTCGTTTTTGCGGATGTAATATCGCACGATTTAAAAATTATGCATCGTGATCTAAAAATTTAAAAAATCATGATTTGTATTTTCGCATTTTTTAAATTCGACGTAGAGTTATATATTTACGTGATTTAAAAGCCTCATATCGGGATTTATAATCACATGGTTTACAAGTTAAAAAATCGCACTTTTTTGTCAAATTTTTGTTTAAATAAATATATATAAATTTTTTTTTCCTTCTTTTTTTTCTTTTTTTTTTTTTTGTTTTTTGGATTTCCTCTTTTTTACTTTCTGACTACTCTCATCCCTGAATTTTTGTCTGTCTGTTGAAATGATAATAATTCTCTAAAATTGTACTTATCATGCTCCTTGTCTACACTTTTCTATTATATCCTTGGATGCATTAGTAAGTTTTTGAAAATCAACTACTTAAGGATAAACTTGATAGCTTATAATACTTCTTTTACTTAATTTGACTGTAGATTTTTTTGTTGATGACAATTACTTAACTTTCCTTGTTTATTTTATTTTCTTCTAGATTAAAATTAAAATTGACCAAATACAAGAGCAACATAGGTTAATGAGTGAAGCTATCAAGGATATGGATAATGCGGTTTCTTTTGGTGATTTCCGAAATGTATCAGACTTTTAATGGCTTTTCTACACCTAATGATGACACAACCTATATTTCACCAAATGTAAGTATGCCTTTAGTTTTTATTAGATTGTTTATCACTTNACATATATTGTGTTTATCTTTTATTCACATTATAAAGGTCCATGAAAGTTTTTATTATTGTAATTTGTTTACGTATATAAAAGAAATTCTAATCTCAGCTATATTCTAATTTCATATATTAAATACAATGATTGCATTTCTGTTCTAGTTTTACACTACATAATTTTTAAAAATAATTATCAAATATCTGAGTGTTAGATGCAATCCCCCCCCCCTTTTTTTTTTTTACAAGATAGCTNCCCCTTTTTTTTTTTTTACAAGATAGCTAATTTCTGGTATGTTGGGAGTACATGTCATTTACGAAGAAAAAAAAAAGAAACCTAGAATAAGTGTAATATTTAAAAAACATAAAAAATATCAAGTCTCCAAAATTTTCCATTCAAACCATTACAGGGTGGGGCACTGCTAATTTATTGATTCCAATACATATGATGTCCTTGAATCTTAAAATTTGTAGCTTTATGGTATATTTAAAATTTTTTCATTATGTTTCATTTTTTGAAACACTCTTGAAAAAAATATTTTGATTTTTTTATATTCTTCATGTTTTTTTCTGGTCGTAAGTATTGTTTTTTTAAAAGAAAACCTTAATATGTAAAAAAAAAGAAATTATTATGAAAATTAATTGTACACATTAAAATAGTTTTTGATAGGAGTAAATCCATACAGAGTTATCCATATCTATCACATCGGTTATAATGCATCAATAGTTCTCGATCAATTATTGTCCATCTTCATTACTGGTGTATAAGTAGACCCCCTGATTTTTGTAAAATTTTAGGGGTTCAAAAATTTTATATATACATTTTGATATATGGTATTTTAATTATTCTACTTGTGTGTTTCTTTAATAGACAAGAGCGTCTATTTTATTAATAAGTACTGGTCTCACGACTTATACCTAGTCATATTTAGTTAGTTTTGATGGTTGTTACATTTGTGTTTGGTGCAGTAAGACCAATTCTAATTCTTCTGCCATTAAGCTATACATATATTGTAATCCATAAAAAAAATAGTTGGTATTATCGCTTATGGGCTTTTATTTTGTTTTAAAAAAATTTTTACTTCCTCCTTTACTGAATGCATTGTATCATATTTCATCATATCATATCGTATTGTATCATATTTGTATCAATGCTCTGTGTTACTTTCATAAGTAACATGAAAATTTTCTTGCGGAGCATGACTGAAAATATACACTAAGTGCAAGTGCAGAAAAAAATTACATACATTTTAACTTTCAAAATTCTTTTATGAGTCTGGGCTTTTGAGCTTAATTCGATGTTCAATCTTTTTTTCATATTCAAAAGATAGTTTTCAAGTGTTTACTGTAATCAACTAGAAGAAAATAGTAAATGAATTATGAAGTATTCGATATAATCACTTTACTATTCAACAAATGTGCAAAAAGTGCCTGACTGTATCAGAGATGTATAAAAAATGTGTTTTGTTACAAAAAGTTAGTTTTTAGTTCATACATCATTTAATCCCACTTCTAGAAGAAAATTGTTTATATTTCCAGAAAATATTGTTTACACAATGATAATTATTAAATTTTATTATTATTGTTTTTGTTATTGAATTGGCAGATGCTAAATTAGTTAGATTATACAAGTCTAAATGTATTTTTTTTTTTAAAGAAAAATTCTTCATAAAATGCATTGCATCGAATTTGTACTTTCCAAATTATCAAATTTATACAACTTTGTGGTAACTTAATTTGTTAGAAATTTGGATACTAAATTTTTTTATAGGTTTAGTTTCTTCATACTACAAATATTAAAATCTGTATGGTTTGTCTAAAAGTATTTGCAATTATTTTTATGTTAGTACTTTGATTCTATATTAGACTGTATCAAAACTGCATTTGTTATTTAGTTGCAAAATAATTTTTAAGAATGCATGAAATATTTTTAAGGTCCCAAAATCCTTTGATGAAGTTGAACCAGCTGTAATTACACCTGTCAATGATTTTCAGGTAATCATATTTTATAATCTATTTCTTTGAAGAGAAATTTTTAAAACTTTCTTATTATTCACAAAATATGCACCTACAGTTAGGTTAGTGCTCTAAACATGTGGCTCCATGCTCTATGAGGCATTAAGAGAATTTTGTCAATTCAGGCATACTTATAGAATTAATTATTACGCAACATGTAAATATGTGGAAATCAAATTGGAAAATTATTTTGAAATAATAATAATAGTTTTTGATATCTCTGTAAACATTCGGTTATGTTTGTTTGGATTGTGTGCATTTTTATAGTTCATCAACTGTTGGAGTATTTTTTGTATTTAAATGTGTTTTTGGATTTAAGTAGTAAACCATGTTTTAACTCTCTGGTTCCCGCAATCTGAAATGCAATACCTCCCTCAGATTGCAGAAACCCAAGATTCCCCCCCTACCTCCCTCATATTTGCCCAAACATTTGTTCCTAAACTTTCTTCCCCTCTTTCTCTGCACGTTATGATAGTCAACTCACCTTACCAATGGTAAGTGCTAAGGAGTTGAAACAGGAGACTTTTTAGGGACGAATGAAGGTTGTATTGAAAAAATCATTGCTTTCTGGTTTCTTTAATTTTAATACATTTTGTTGTTGAGAAATAAAATCAAAATATTTATTAAAAATGTACCTCGAAATTTTTTAAATAAGGAGTTTTTTTTTTTTTTGCACTTCATTATTATAAAATGTAATTTTTTTTAAAATAAAGAACTGATTTTGTTCAAATTTCAAGTTACTTCATNTTATTATAAAATGTAATTTTTTTTTAAATAAAGAACTGATTTTGTTCAAATTTTAAGTTACTTCATTGATTATTTGCATAATGTGCACACCTGCCAAGTGTCCTGTTTTTTAATGAAGAATCCTGTATTTTACTACTATCTCCTGGTTTACCTGTATATTCTCAAATTTCTCTGTATTTGTTGAAGAAATTTAGAAAAAAAGAAAAAAAAGATGCCAATAAAATAATTGATGATGGCAAAAATACTTCTCTTATTCCTCAACAGATGGTGCTATTACCAGACAGTATGTTGAGTGTTTATGTTTTAAGTAATTATAGATAATGCTTTTAAAAATCTTATTTAGAGATTAAGAATTATACACATATATTTTACTTCACAAACTGTAAGTGCTTATAATATTTCCTATTTTAATTTCTCTTTTTGACTTACTTGATTATACGTGGTGTATCAAAACTTTACTTGTAGCCTAAAATATATCGCTAGTAAGATCTCCGTTATTATATTCTTGTTGGCAGGTATGAATGTGACATAATTATTTAATCCTAATCAATATAATTTTCAAGATCTAAAATTTACATTTTNTACAACTATCTCCTGGTTTACCTGTATATTCTCAAATTTCTCTGTATTTGTTGAAGGAATTTAAAAAAAGAAAAGAAAAAAAAGATGCCAATAAAATAATTGATGATGACAGTATGTTGAGTGTTTATATTTTAAGTAATTATAGATAATGCTTTTAAAAATCTTATTTAGAGATTAAGAATTATATACATATATTTTACTTCTCTAACTGTAAGTGCTTATAATATTTCCTATTTTTATAATATTTCCTATTTTTAATTTCTCTTTTTGACTTACTTGATTATGCGTGATGTATCAAAACTTTACTTGTTGCCTAAAATATATCGCTAGGAAGATCTTCGTTATTATATTCTTGTTGGCAGGTATGAATGTGACATAATTATTTAATCCTAATCAATATAATTTTCAAGATCTAAAATTTACATTTTTTTTTTCAAATTTTGTTCTTCAAAATGTGGAAGCGCATTACATAAATCAAATTTATACAGGCAAAAACTAAATTTATTTTAATTATCTTAGTAAATAAATTTTTTAAAGAATATATATTTATATTAAGTATTAGTTACACTCAATTTTACTGATTGAAAAGCTAAAGGTTAAAAGTATTATTTTTTATGAGTTAATAGTATAAAAGAGATTCATGTCATATGAAATCTATTCAATCGTCATATATTTTCAAAAAATAGAAAGGAATTACATATGTATTAATGATTAAATTAACTTTTATATTATTAATGATAAACTGAATATTTTGATGATTGATAAAATTGATAGTTTTTTTCTAAATTCTAATTAATTTTGCGATTGTAAAATTATTAATTTTTTTGAAAAATCAATTAGTTTTAAAATATAAGTTAGATGATTATGTATATTTGTGATTGATCAGCAATAATTATAATATGAGAGTACAGGTTGCATACATATAGTTGTGAAATACTTGTCGAAAATTGATTGATTATCACTTACCTTGAGGTATTGACACATTTTATTAATAAATAGTTCAAAAATATTTTTCCCTATGTGCAAGTCAGGTATTTATTAAAGGATGTGTCAGATGATCTTTAGAATATTCTTTAGAATACATATTTATTAATGAAATTCAAAATTAATAAATTAAGATTAATTTTGAATTTTAAATATAAAGATATATTTATGCTGAAACTTCTCAGAAATTCTTGTAAATAGGAATCGATTAAAAAAAAACAAACATTTTATTTCCTTTTAAAGTGAAACAAGATTTTAGTATTTTAGTGATTGACAATAAGTTGTAAAAAAAAAAAAAATTCTTTCACCAGGTTTAAAAATTTCTTTCTTTTTTCTTTATATGAATAATAAGTTGCGATTTTATGGATTCTATTTTCCTTATGGACTTATTATGTGGCACCTGAAGAAATTCTGAATCTAATACTGATTGCATAAAGTGTTTTTCAATTTTGTTCTTTTTTCTCAAACATTTAAAATATTTAACAGTACCTTCATACTTTTATAATTATAGATTATTTTCTCTCATAATTAATATAGCATGCTTTATGAATCATGAAAAAAATAAAAACAACAGTAGAAAAAAGCACCTTAATTAGCTGTTATATAAATTCAGATTCAATTTGATTTAGGTGGTTGAACCTAAATTTAATGAAATTAATTTATTTGTAGTTGTTAACAATTATTCAAATCAAATTATATATTTTTCAAAATTAATTAATATGCAATGTTTAATTTGAAGTTTTACTTAATATATTTTTAATTTTTAATTCAATTATGTAATATATAGTAGTATTGTTATAATGTATCAACAAACAATAGTCTCTCAGGGACTTAATACTTTGGTAAATTAAGAAAATATTCATAAAAATAATAAAATGTTTCAATTTGATACAAAATAACTAATTGAAAAATTATTATTTGCATATTATTACGCCTGAGTACCCCTCTATTTTTCCTCTGAGTGGTGAAACCCTGAACAAATTTATAGCACATTTTAATCATAATTCCCCACATTTTTATATATATAAAAAAAAAAACTGGGTTGAAAGCTCCTATTCCTGTTATACTCTTATTTTTTTTGAATTATAGATATTTTATCGATATTTATTTTGTTTAAATGTTATATTGGAATCTTTCCAGGAGGATCCATTCAAAAGTAGTGATCCCTTCGAAGGTAAAACAAATGGATTTGCTAGTGATCCATTTTCTGGTGAAGATCCATTCAAATCTGGTAAGATGATGTCAATATTTAGATGAGTTTCCTAATTTCTTTATGTTTTTTCATGGAATTAGTTAACTAAAAGTACTATTAAAAAGAATTTGTTTCATTTATAAATTTATTATTAATATATATATATATATAGACCATTCCATAGTCAATCTTCTATTTTTTTTCTGTTCTCTTTTAAATTGAAATTTCATACTATAATGGAAAACATATTTTATCCAATCCTCAGAGTAAATATGTGCATATCTAAAAACGCATGTCAATGTTTAATTGGCATATTTGTAAATTTTAAAAAAGTATATGATTTTTTTCCCCACCTTAAAATAACTTAACAATAGAAATGAACCTGCAATATGTGAATAGGCTGTTCATAGCTATTGATATATGACAATTCTACTGCTGACGTTTTTATTATGGCTTGGAGAGAACACAATAATTTTAATATATATATTTTTAAAGGCTTTTATTATGTCTTATTATTTTATATTAAACTTTTATTTTGTCTTTATAATGTTTTGGAGAATTTTATTTTATCTTATTATTAAATTTTTAACGATCCTTTGAATAAGTTCCTGTATTTCTCTTAAAATTGTTAGTATCTAAACCTCTCGATGATAATGTACATTTTTATTTGATTCGTTTTTTTAGAGTTATAAAGTTTTAGTTATAAATTATTTATTTCTTTAAGTTGAAAATGTTGCTCTTTACTTTTAACTCTAATGATTTTGTTAATTTCTTTAAATGACATTTTGTACTGTAAATAATTTTTGCTTAATTAAGGTTTTAATTATTATTTTGTGAAGTTTGCTTGTTATTTAATTTAATGAAACTGAATTTTTGTATGTTTCATCTTTATAGTTTGTTTCACTTAATAATTTTTTAATGATAATAAATTTTTGATTGATAATTAATGCTATTCAGGAATATTTAGTGTCTAGAATTATCTCTTATTTTATAGATCCTTTTGTTGATACTAATGTTGCAGCAGCAGCTAGTGATCCTTTCAGTGGAGACCCTTTCGAAAGTGCTTTTAATGTAACTGCATCACAATCAAATAAAGTGAGAATTTTGATTTGAATATTTTAGGATATTCTAACTGCCACTGATTTTCTGTAATTTCTGCGGGTTTTAGCTTCTGTTTCTGATTGCTGAAGCTTTTACAAATATAATATTGATTAGTAAATTATTAATCATTTGAATAAAATTAATATTTTTAAATGTTTTTTTTTATCCTTATCGTTTTTTAAAAACATGGCAACTTATAGAAAGTGAATTAAATGTTTTATTTTGATAATATTGCATATATTAGAAACTTTTAATACAATTGATCAAATATACAGTTCAATCGGAATTTACAAATTATTAAATACTATGAATAATGTTTCTTATGAAGGTAAAGTATGAAAAAACAGCTATTTGACTCTGCAAATGCATTGCTTTCGATAGTATTCTTGAATATCTTTTTTTTATTCAATTTTTTTATTTTATAGTCAAAACTTTATAAAAATTGAATTAAATCAAAATTTATAGTTTAAGGCTTATGAATTCCTTTTTCATTTTTGTAAATTGGTTAAAAAATACATTTCTAATTAGTTTTAATTTAGTTTACTGTATTATACATTTTTAAACATAACGATTCGTTTAAAAGAATTTTTTCAATACATATACATTCATTTTCACATATTTCTTTTGCTTAAAGCTTAAGATTCTTATAATATTAGAGCAAAAAGTTCCATTATACACTGGCTTTAAAAATTAAGAATAAATTTTAAACGTAATAGATTATATCCAGAACTAATGTATAGATTTTAGTGAAATTTACTATCAACATAATTAATGTAATACAAATTTAATGACCTTTTAACAAATATGTCTTTGCATGATCATGTGTATCACTCATCTAAGTTCAAAGTATGAAGCTGAGGATAAAAGAATAGGTTAATTTGGTCCTGTTTATGGAATAAGTATGGAATTTGTTTGCTCCAAAACATCTATCTAGAATTAGATATGAGAAAATTAACCTTTCATGCAATAGTTTTTTGAGTGAAGGACCAAGGGAATTGGACAGAGCCACAGTTATTGAAAGAAAAGTGTAAACGTTTTGAAGCAATAAAATTTTTTTTAAAGGAATGTGTCAATACCTCCAGCGGATTAATGTCCGAATTAGGCAGTTTTAGAGTTCTTGGGGCAGTTGGTCATGATCATCTAGCAGTATTGATTTCATTCCTTTGAAGGTTTTTTGGAAAGATATCGCACTCTTAAATTGCTCTCTAGAGTGTCCCTAGCATGCTTTGTCGAGATCAGATCCGGAGACCTGATTATCAAATCTACTTGACCAAAGTCTGCACTTTTTCAGAAAATTGCCTACCAGGACGAACTCTGTGTTGTCATGTATGACCTTAAAATGAAAATAGGGATAACCTCACCTTTGAAAAGGCAAACAAAGAGTATCAAGGGCTCTTTTCTATACCTTGTGCTAGTCAAAGTTCTAGTTTATAAAAGATATAGGGGGTCTACAACTATTCAACATGGTGCTTACTTGGACCACCAACACTAAACTTCCATAATAGTAAATTTCTTAATCATTACACTGGTAGCATTAGATAATAGATAGTGGTGACTCTGTTCAAAAGTTAAACTCTTTCATATGAAGAAAACCAGTGGTTTGCCAAAACTTCTCAAGTATCTGAGAAAACAACCATTATGTTTACCCTGTGTTTGCCTTTTAATGGATACAGTTGACCCAAATTTGATTTAGATCCAGATTTGATTTTGAACAGTCAGATAGACTATGATTTTCAAAGAAGTGAAAATATAGACTTAATAGATTATTCAGCAAAAACTTAAGATCTCGACTCTATGAAATATGTCTGAAATGCTCTGGAAAGAGCAATTAAAACTTGCAGATACCCTCAGACAACCATCTAGATCCTGAAAATAGTGTTGAATAATTTAGATCAATTTCTGCTTAACTGCTTTATTTCCACCGTTTTTGTTTGAGAATGTATTGTATGTTTGTGAGAAGGGGGCCATAGTTTAGAACCATTTTTCTCTTGCTCGATTCAGTAGCTCCTGTTTCATACCTTCCAAGTCCGATGATTGTTACACATGATCAGGAGAGTGTGTATGTTATCATAACTGGTGAATGTTCATTATATATGTATTGTATCAACTTATGTGCATTCAAATTTCATAAAGCATTATTATTTTCTTTAAAGAGCGATCCATTCTCTGGAAGTGATCCATTTGGGGGATTTGATGCTGCTTCTACCCCTACAAACCCTGGTAAGTAGTTGCATCAAAATTTATTGCATTTATCTAATAGTGCATCACAGATCTGAATCTACTTATTTCTTTTTTGCATTTTGTATTTTTGAAAACTCTAGCTTTCCAAGCTCTAACTCTAGGCAAAATTGTGTAAGCTTTTCCCTGCTACTAACTTGTTACCCATAAAATAATATTGAGATAAGTTAGTTTTTGTTGCATTGGCCGGAATAGCCTGGTTGGTAGGTTGTTGGGCTCATGTTCGTGAGTTTGAATCCTTCCGGCCAATGAATCCCCATGTATTAAATTGTGACTAGGGCACTTTAAATTAGTTAGGGTCACAAAATCTTCCAAGTTCCTATAACAAATCAATACCCCTGGGAGTACTGAATTGGACATTGATCTTTCTCTGATTCAGGTCAAAATTATGATCCATGGAGTGTGAATGGGTCCTCCCTGTAAAACGGGCTGTGATGTGTGTATGGCTGAAGTCATACTCTTGGCCATAGATAACGCCACTGAAAAAACAAGAAATTCACTCTCTGCCTTAAAATAGCTTGGGTTCTCGTGGCAGGATTGCCGGTATTGGCAAGTGACATTTGTTGTAACAATGCAACCTGTTTAACCCTTAGCCGTTTTGCAAAGTTATGCAAATATTTCCCTGCCAAGTGCAGTATCTCCATTGTGGTAAAATAGGTTTTCTGTACAGGAAAGCAAGCAGATTGGGACCAAAATTGATATTAGCTAAAGGTTTTAAGCTTAGAAAGAGCCAGAGCCATTACTTAGATGGTTAAAATTATTTTATTCTAATAATTTTAATAAATGTATTAATACTTATTTTTTGTTTTTAGAAAAAGATCCTTTTGATCCGTTTGGTTTATCTCAAGCAAATTCTAATCAAGCTCCTTCTATGGTATGTATGTCTTTTTGGTTTTAATTTGTTTATGGCAGATTTTCAATTGTTCAATGATTTACTTTCACTGGGTCACTGAATTTTCTGAAAATTTTGTTAATAGATAAGAGATAAATGTTCAGCTTATTAATGGGTAAAACTTTGGTGCATTTTTTGTTGAAAGAGTTGGCTACGCACCCTGTAAAAAAGCATCTGAAAGATAGACGTTTCCAAAAAATGAATGTCTAGATATGGGACTTTGTACAGCATATTTCAGTTGATTATGTTAGTTAGCATCAATAGTCATGCGCTGAATTGGCAAAAATAAAATAAAAATTTAACAATAGTTCAATAAAACGTAATACAGAGACAGCATGTCTTTTCAATTGGAAACTTTCGGTCTTGATTCAACTATTAAATTGTTGCATTAAAAGTATTTGTACAGATATCACTGCATTTTGGTTTTCTAGTTTTGTGTGCTCATTAATTGTGATTTTTAATTTTCTATTTTGATAGGGTTTTGATTCAGATCCTTTTGGATCCGATCCATTTGAAGGAGCAAGATCTGAGAGTCCTACTCCAGCTCTCCCACCAAAAAAGAGTAAAGCACCTCCTCCAAGGCCAGCTCCTCCCAAATCAGGATCTAGCTCTACTGTCAAACCTGGACCAATGAGAGCAGCACCAGCACCACCTGTGCCTCCTCCTCCTACAGTAGATCCCTTTAAAGCAGCAGATGCTGAAATTACGAGCAATAATGCAGCATTTCCCGATTTGTTTTCAAAAGCACCCAAATCTCAAGATGCTTTTGATCCTTTCTCAAATGTGACTTCATCGGACGGTTTTGCGAATTTTGATAATTTTGCTGATTTTGATAATGTTAAGTGAAAACTATTTTCTGTTAGATTCAATTGCAAACAGATTATTTGAAATATGTATGTAAATTTTTTTAACATTAGGATTCTAATGTGCTGTTGAATAAGACAATTGCTTGTGCTGTAGGAATGAATCAGTTATAACAAGTTAATGGTCTGACTAGAGTTTTAGGTTGATGCAAAATGTACGGTGAACCAGTTGGAATATTTTCAGTATGGATTTTTCATTAAATATTGTTTTAGTATTTTACATTGCTAAAATTTTGTATTATTTATTTTAAAAGTTTCTGATTCTTTTATAAACATTAATCTTCTTATTATATACGGGTAATTTTCGATAATTTTCACATGCAAAAATTTATTTACTATTACGTATTTTTTTATAAATTGCTTAGGTTTTATTTTCTTAACCAATTTTTAGATTTAGAGCTTATTTCATTTCATTAACTAAATTTTATTTATTTTTAAGAATTAACTACAGTTGTTAAAAAGTTTTTAAGGCAATACAGAGAGTTGTGCCACATGCCAATATGAAAAGTTAGTCGTATGCTTTGTTTGGAAACTTTATATTTAGCTAAACTTACATAAAAGGTTTAGGAATAGTATGATGAGAATTGATTTCATTATTGAAACTAGTGCCTTCCTTGTCTAAAACTTTAATACCAATAATTTTTTGTATGAATTATTTTTCATGTCTGGCATGTTTAGTTTGCTGTTAGTGAAGAATATTTTTCAGGATAGGATACTAAAGATCGGTTTTAAAATTCATTAGGTAAAAAAAAATTTTTTCATTCTCTTTATTTTTTTTTAAAGAAATGAATTATACTTGTCAAGTGAAAAACTGCCCTAACTTGATTGTCCTAGATTCATGAATTATAGTTATTCTACTGATATTAATTTTTTTTTTTTTTTTTTNGTGTGGAGATTTGCTTACTGCTGTGTCCTTATCACACTATAAAGTAGGCGTAAAGCACTTTGTCTTAGCCTTACAAATGTGTCTTCACAATGTGTAACTAATGCTTTACTGTATGCTGCCATGTTCCAATGCAAAGTTGTGTTACCATACATTTACATACAGCTAAATAGTCTTGAAATGGTGCTTTGCTGTATACTAATCCTGCTTAATGTCTTCCTTTAATCAAGTAATTAGTGTATAATCCCTGTTTTCATCTTCATCACTTCACTATCATAATTACTTATGATTTATTTATTTAAAAGTATAATAAAAGTTATTTTTTTTAAAAAAAAGTTTGTTTGCTAATGCTGCATATTTTATCAATTGTTTCTACTTCCCTTTTTATTTATTTGTTCTTAATTAAATTGCCCTGGTTCTAAAAAAAAATATTTTTAAAAAATTCAAAAAGTTTCTTAAAATAAATATGAACATCTGAATTTTAAATGTAAACTTGAACATAATTTAGTTGAATTGATCAAGTTCATTTGGAATGTTAGTATGCACAATCTTCATAAAGTGTCTGCTAGTGTGTTTTTCTAATTTTTAACTTTTTAAACTAAGTTTTAAATTGTTTTGCCTTGTAAATAATTATTTTATTTAGCTTAATTCATAAAATTTTCAAAACTTGTCTAATTATCTTCAAAGGTTTAAAATTGTATGTTTATTTGTTATATAAAGGGTGTTTTATATACTGTATTTTACCAATTACCATAATGAATGTGAATAATGAACTCTGCTTATTAATAATGGCATGACCCATTCTTGAAGTTGCAAATATATCATTATGAATTTAAACATACCAATACATGAAAAAGACTAAAAGTCCAAAAATGATTAATTATATTCTTTATTCAAATATTATTTTTAATATAGACTTAATTACTTTAAATTTAAATGAAACATAAGGTTAAAATAAGAGCATTTCTTGGGTAGATAATTTTATTGCATTTTACACGTAATATTTGTCAAATAAATTAATGTTTTCTGTACTCTTTTATTTAAATTTTTATTCGGCTTAACTATTATTTTTAAAGTTAAAAAATTTTAAAAATTTCTTAGCATTATTTAATTACTATTTGGAAAATGTGTTGGATGTAATGCAAGGTGTTCCAAAAATGATCATCAATTAGAAATATCAGTTAATAAAAAACAGATAAAAATATACAGATTGCTGGGTTTTGCTTTGAAGACCAGAATATTAATTCTTAATAGTTTCACAAATAATTACAAATAAATTACTAGATAGTGCTACTTTTTGGAAAAAAATTATAAAATTAACTTTTCTGTTACATGTTACTGAAATAATGCTGCTGCCTACTGAAACAATTGCTTGGCCATTTGTTAAATTTGTCTTAAAATTTCAATAAGTTGTTTCTGCAATTGGTGGCTATTTTGAAAATATTGTACAAGAGTTGTTCTCTCTTAGTGCCATTTTCTGTTTAACTTTTGTTTTAACATTTTTGTGTCCAAATTTAAAAGTTGTCTAGAATAAATTCTTTAGTTACCTAAGCAAAATGCAGCAAGCTGAACAATTCCATCTCTTTATATTTTTCTTCAGCTGATGTTTCAAATCGTCAGTCATTTTTGGAACACTTGGTATTTGTTCACAACAACAAAAAGTTTACTGGAAAGGTGTATGCCAACTCTATCTGAATTAACTTTTAAGCTGTGATGTTTTAAGGTTTGAGACAATGTGCTTGCTTAACAATCCTGCTTTATTTCAATTGTGTCTACTGTCACTTGCATCCAGATATAAATAAACTTGTATGTGTGTGCTATCTACTGAATTAAATTAGTATCAAGAAAAAGTCATATGCAATATTATCAGACTACGTATCTAACTAAAGAATCTTGTAAATATTCATTGCCTAAGTGTATTTAAAGAATAACATACTGTTATAACAAAGTAGATCGTACTAGAATCTCATATTGACTGGTGTATCTTTAAGCTGAATGATGATATATATGGCTGCTGTGTGTAAATATTATTAAAAATTGAAAAGCATTCTCTTTTAGTTTAGAAACTGCATCACTTTCATAAAGAAAAAAAAAGTTAACCAAAATGATCTATTGTTAAGAGTTAATATATAAAATGTTTACCTTTATTTTGTAAAATTTATGAAATAAATTCTATCGATAAGTTAATAAAAAAAAATAATAATAATTTATGCTTCATAAAAATGTTTGAATAACTTAGTTGAATTAGTTTTTTCTTTTTCATTTTTAGTACATTATAAAGTCAATCTTGAGATAGGTGCAAGTGATATATTAGTGCTCTAAAGATACGAGTGTTCTGAGCCTTGAATTTAAATTCAGAGAAATTATTTTCAGTTTCTTTGTATTTAGATGTTTAGTTAAGAAATTATGTTGCAATCTATGAAAGTTGAGCAAATATCTAGCAATAGGAATCTAGATTCATAACAAAACAGTGTCATGTCTTTTATTTCTAAGTATTTTGTTTTATTTAATTTAGTGAATTTTATGTAATTTCTTATTTTGGTAAATTGAACATAATTATAAATAATTTTGCACTTATACCTGGGGTTTCCAAATTTTTTAACTGCCACACCAAATTGTCCACTAAACCCAAGGACTGATACTTGAGGGAAAGGCCTAATATTAGGAGGAAAAGTGTCAATTCTCTCTAGCCGTGGAAATTTTAGAAGACCCGCTTTTCCCCAACAGTTGCAGGACTATTTAAAGCATTTACAAAGGTATTATTAATTTTTCTGCCTCCCCTCTAGTTACATATTTATTCATTCTTCCTCTATCTCATTCATAATACCAACATGTAGTTTTAAATGTACACAAATTTTTGTTTTAAAATTACCCAACAAAACAGAGATGTATGACTTCTCAAGAGTGTCATTTAAGTGTTCAGTTTATAGGACAAATATTATATCCTTAACTACAATAAAACAGTCCATTTCTTTTTGTATATCAGCTATTATGTTTCTTTTGTAAGTATGTACTCTGTGCTTGAACATTTTATATTGGATCTTAGTAAGCTTTTTTGTTTGTTTCATGTTTTGATAAAAAAAGAAAGAAAATTTTCATTTTCAGAAGTACAGTTCAGGAAATTCATAGTTGAATTTTGCTCAATTTTCATAAACAGTTCTTTTTATACATATTTCAAGGCCAGATTCATAATAATATGCTAAGTGTCATGTTACAAAAATAGCTTATCAGCATAAACATGTTTTATTTATTGTTCATCAATAATTTTTTTGCTTTGTATGTTTGTATATATCCAAACTTTATAAATTTCCTTATCACATTGATAATAATCTTGTATATTTCTGTTTCTTGATGTACATGATATTTGAAAACAGTTTTAAAAGTTATGCTGAAAAATATATATAGTTTATTAACCGAAGTTGTATCAATTTATTTGGTTGATAATTATTTGTAAATGTTCACTATATTCATCAGACCGTTACTGTTTCTATGAAATAGCATTTGTTGATGAATGTTTTAAATAAGGTCATTTCTCATAATCGTTGTTTTTTCTAGTCCTGATAATCATGAAGTTTATTTATGAGTTTATTTCTTCACTATGTCTGTCATAAGTGTTAGAACATCCGATGTATGTGTTACAAGACTGTGGAAAGATTATGAGAATTGTGAGTGATTATATTAAAAGTATGAAATAATTTTTCCCAATAAATTTTATTATAAAAGAAGTTTTTTTTTTTTCATTTATTCATTCATATTATTTTAATACAATGAAAAGGAATAGTTACAGTTAGACTGAATCTATTATTTAAAAAGAAGTTTGGAATATGCATTAATAATATTATTAAGATTAAATAGTTTAATTGTAAATGTAATATATATATCCTTTGTGTTTTTTGTCATTATTTATATTTTATAGAAAAAACTAACAATTTTATAATATATTATTTTCTTATGCAAAAATATGTAAAAACTAAACATATTGTATAAAAAAAAGAGAGATAGAGAGAAGGATCCAATATGTTTAAGAAGACACGATAATTAAAGTAGTGGAATCATGAATTTTTTTCTGACTTAGTTAAAAATGAATGTAATAAAAAACTACTGAAACCCAGACCATTTATAAATGAATGTTTTGTTATACAATCATAAATAAATAAACAAGATATAGCTATTTAAAAATTGTCTGTTAGGCATAATTATTATACCATTTCTATTAAATTATTATTTCTAATTATTGCCAAAAATCCTACAATGTTACATGGCTTGCAGTTTCATGAAAAATAAAACTAAGTAAAATAATATATATACCCGAGTTGTTGCTTTTCATCTGAATTGAATGAATTCCGATAATCAAATTGAGATAATAATGCTGGATTTTTTTTTCATACTTAAATAGAAGGGGAAAAAACAATAATTGTGGAAAGCAAAAATATTTTTTCTTGTAGTTGTGCTTCCAAAAAAGACGGCTTATTAGTAATGTTAAATTAATATGAAATAAAATTTTGTTTGCTTTTATTTATTATTTTATTAGAACACTTATTTTATATATTTATTATATTTTGATTATTATAACTTAATAAAAAATGAACGAAGGGAACTAATGAGCAGCTAGTACCTTCTATACAGGTTATCCCCGCAACTGGAAAGTCATGAATTTTGGTATTGAACAAAATTTGTCATGAAATGTCATGATTTTAACTATTTTTTTTTAAGAAAATCACGGAAAGTCATGGATTTAGGTTGCTGAAAAATCTAATTTTTAAAATGGAATTTAAAAATACCCTCTCCCCATTTCATGGTATGGTGTTCCGAATATCTGAATTTGTAATGAAATCCCCACTCACAGTCATATTTTAATAAAATATAAAATGTTTTTATCATGTTCTTTAAAAGTTATGGTGTTTTTCAAAAAATCAAACAAAAAACATCATTTCTAGAGCGAATTATCTTTTTAACTCCTGTGATTTCAGAAGTTTTGTAATTATTTATTTTTATTTTATCAATTTAAAATTCTAGCTGAAGCAAGCCAGTCATTGGCAATTTTTTTTAAAATTCTGAAATGAGAACAGAAATATCAGGAGTACTTATTTCCTTTCGGATGAACAAGAAAAGTATCTTTAGAATATAATTCTGCAAAAAAAAAAAATTATTTGCTTTTTTATTTTTTTCAGCTATTTTTCTTTCTTTACTCTGTTTTTTTAAATTTAAAATCTTTAAAAATGACGATGCAAAGTATAACAGTTTTGGTTATACCTATCATTTCAATTTATGTTATTATAATGCTTTTTTTAATTTCTTGTGTTTTTGTCCGAGAAAATAGTAACTTTGTTGTCATGAAAAATTCTAGGAATTAGTCATGAATTTGAAAATCTAAAGTGTAGCAGATACCCTGTCTATATTATTTCTTTTCATCTAATTTTTTTTGCCCACTTTGAAGAAAGACAGCAAATTTTATTATATGTAAGAGCATTAGCTTTTGTAATTAATTTCAGTTTTTAAAGCTTGCATAAGCATAATACAAACTGTTAGTAACATAAAGAAAACGTTACTAATATCTTTATAAAATTTAGTACAATTGGAGAAAAAAGACTAATAAAAAGTGCATAATATCATTTAGAGGTTAAGAGTTTTGGAAACTGTACAAGATCACTCAAATCTAATGGTTGTGACTTTTAGGGGTGATATAACTTTCCAAAATAAGCAACTTTTGAATTGTGTGCCTACTGGTTGAAAATAAGGAGGGACGTATAACAAAGGACAAAGAATTAATGTTATGAAAAACTCATAGCTAGTGACATACAACTAGCTGTGAAGCCTTTGCAATGCAGGGTCCACATCGGTTACTCAGTGAATCTCGCTAACTTTGTAATGTTCTGGGTATCACCCTAATATCTAAAGCTATTGCTAAATCGTTCCTGCTAAAGTTATATCCCTTTCTATAAAAAGCGATGTTTTACGTTCTTGAGCGGCCGAATACGCCCTATTACGACTTGCTCTTTTCCTTGCGACCCCAAATAGTACTTTCAAAGTAGTGTATTTTGACTATTGGCGATCGAAATGGGCTGCAGGTGGCGTAGAGCAGAACTCTCTACCAATTGGCAACGCTTCACATGCTTTCCCCATTAGCGTGTGGAAAGTCATAGAGGAATGAAGTACGTTAGTTTCTCTCTTGATTTTCATGTCCCGCAGTGGACTGATCGTTAAGACACGGTTCCCAGCAGATCATCGAAGTCAAGCATCACTGGCTACAGTCAGTGTGCGGGTGGGTGACCACTTAGATCAGTCTGCGTAGGGACCGAGGGTGTGCGGTATTGGTCCTCGTTAAACTGTGCTACCGTAAAGTGCTCGACTTCGCGCGCAGGTCGTCGGGTTACCGAAGCGGGGGTGCCACCCCCTCCGCAGAGGATCAAAATTGTGATGTCATGTCTTCGGATCATCCTCCGAAATGTTTCCCAGACCGTCGGCAATAGCCCATTGTGCAGCTCTAGTGCGACGTAAATTAACAACAACAACTCTTGATTTTCATATAGATTAAAATCTTGTGAAGTTGGAAAACTATATGGAACTGAAAACCACATTAAACATAGTTCTAAAGAAAAGTATCATGGAAATATTAAAAAATATTTTTTTTCAATAAAAAGTACATTCCTATACAACAGAAAAGAGGAGGAGAGGGAAGGGGAGAAGGGCTAAAGGCATGAAACCGGTCTCTCCCCAGATGGCGTATTCGAGTGTTGCGATCGCCAATATATATATACTATTTTTTTTTAATAAATGAAGTATAACGTTTTTGTCTGCTGCAGTTAAAATTTGGCCATAATCAGAATCGAATGTGCAAACAATAACTAAGTAACAATTAGCATAATGTTGTTGTTGTTGTTCATTTACTTCGCACTAGAGCTGCACAATGGGCTATTGGCGACGGTCTGGGAAACATCCCTGAGGATGATCCGAAGACCTGCCATCACAATTTTGATCCTCTGCAGAGGGGATGGCACCCCCGCTTCGGTAGCCCGACGACCTGCACGCGAAGTCGAGCACTTTACGGTAGAACAGTTTAACGAGGACCAATACCGCACACCCTCGGTCCCTACACAGACTGATCCAAGTGGTCACCCACCCGCACACTGACCGCAGTCAGTGATGCTTGACTTCGGTGATCAGCTGGGAACCGTGTCTTAACGACCAGTCCACTGCGGGACATTAGCATAATGTAAATCAAGAGCTAGACAATTACGTCATTTTCTTCTGAACAAATATTCTAGAAGAACTATTTTTCTTGATTTTGCTGTGTATAGTACTAATATTTATTTCTGATTGACAGGTTTTCCGAGCTTTGGCATTTGAAACAATATATTGCCTAAGGAGGGCACTTTGTATAAATTGCTGCCATTAGCACTGTATCCGATTAGTTAATGCTCGTTTTACATATATTTTGCTCAGTTTTCATGATATTCGTATGCCTACGCAGCATTTATCTCTGTATTTTCTTCGCATAAATTGCTTTTCCTGAAATGGTCAACGCGATTGAACTTACTTGCATCCAATAACAAGCATCGACTTACATGCATCCAAGAACAAGGTTTATGAGAACCTGATTGGTTTAATATGATCCCTGGTGAAAAATGCACCAATCAAGTTCTCATTCGGTGATCTGTAGTGCGTGAATCGCTTAAACGAGAATAGCTCTAAGTGCTACTTTACGCATATACATTTACAAATCGATGAAAAAATGCTTTTGACTCGCGGTAAAAAATTTCTCTGGGGTCGTTTAGTTTCTAGGTCTGGCATCAATTTTTTCTTAAACAAAAACAAAAACACATTAGAGCGCTCAAATCAAATATTATTATTTGGTTTTAATATTTTAATGAATTTCTTGCTTTAATGTTACTTAAATCTTTGGAAATATGCGGAGAAGTTTTGCTCCCAGTCAGTTAGCGAAGAGAAAAATATCTCCGCCTTCGATTTCCAGTAAACGAAACAAAGTTGATTCTAGAAGCGTTAGAACTGTCAAAAGTCGCAAAGACACTGAAGACACTAATGATTCTTCATTTAAAGAAAATATTAGCCACGAAGAACTCATTAAAACTCTTCTATCTAAACCATACCAAGTTCCTATTCCCAATTATAATGGCTCTTATAGAGGAAGATCTCTGGGAATGCGTCGTTCTGGTGTTAAGACGGCATTACACGATCCTGATGAAGAAGGAGCTCTAGTGTTATATGAACCCGCAAAGCAGACACTGCATGAAAAACAAGTTTTGACAAATTCTACTGATGTTGACGTGCATGTAGTAGTTGATCCAATTCTATCTAAAATTTTACGACCCCATCAAAGGGAAGGAGTTAAATTCATGTGGGATTGTATAACTGGTAAACAAATTGAAAACAGTTTTGGCTGTATTATGGCTGATGAGATGGGCTTAGGTAAAACTCTTCAGTGTATAACATTGCTATGGACTGGTTTAAGACAAGGTCCCACTGCCAAACCAGTAATAGAAAAAGCCATTATAGTTGCTCCAAGTAGTCTTGTTAAGAATTGGGAAAGAGAAGTCACTAAGTGGCTGAGTGGGAGAGTAAACACTTTAGCAATTGATGGGGGAAGTAAAGCTGAAATCGATAAAAAATTGGAAAGCTTTGTGTATGCCATAGGCAGAATCTGCACGCCAATTTTAATAATATCCTATGAAACTTTTAGATTGCATGCTTATGTTTTGTACAAGACTGAAATTGGTTTGGTTATTTGTGATGAAGGTCATCGTCTGAAGAATTCTGATAATCAGACTTATCAGGCATTAGATAAATTGGTGGCTAAACGTAGAGTGCTTTTATCAGGCACACCAATTCAGAATGATTTGCTTGAATATTTCAGTCTTATACAATTTGTGAATAAAGACATTCTTGGTTCTGCTCAAGAGTTTAAAAAAAAGTTCGAGAGGCCTATTCTCAGGTGTCGGGATATCGATGCAACTCTTGCAGAACAAGAAAAAGGTAAAGAGAAGTTAGATGAGTTGATAGCCATAGTCAATCGATGTATGATCAGAAGAACATCTCAATTGCTCTCAAATTATCTACCTGTTAAAATAGAACTTGTTGTTTGCTGTGAAATGACTGATTTACAGAAAAGCTTGTATTCTCACTATGTAAATTCACAAGCAGTTTCGAAAGCTCTTGACAATAAAAGTAAAATTAGTGCTCTCTCGGCAGTAACAAGTCTGAAAAAGATTTGTAATCATCCAGATCTGATTTATGAATTAGCTAAAAAGAACCAAGATGGTTTAGGTGTGTGTGTAAAACTCTTTCCATCAAATCATGGTAAAAACCTGATACCAGAGCTTTCTGGAAAAATGAAAGTATTAGATGGCATTTTAGCTGTTGTGAAAACTACAACAAATGATAAAGTAGTATTAGTTTCAAATTATACACAAACATTAGACATGTTTGAAAAACTTTGCCAGTTGAGAAACTATACCTTTGTACGTTTAGATGGAACAATGACTGTCAAGAAACGTGGGAAAATTGTAGAAAATTTCAATGATCCAAATAATAATTTATTTATATTTATGCTGAGTAGTAAAGCCGGTGGTTGTGGTTTGAATCTTATTGGTGCTAATCGGCTGATTATGTATGATCCTGATTGGAACCCTGCAAACGATGCCCAAGCTATGGCTCGAGTCTGGAGAGATGGTCAAAAGAAAGAATGTTTTGTGTATCGTTTGTTGTCTACAGGAACTATTGATGAGAAGATTTTGTTGCGACAAACTCATAAAAAAGGGCTCAGCAGTTGTGTTGTTGATGAAGAAGAGGTCCAAAGACATTTTAGCCTGTCTGAACTGAAGGCATTATTTCGTTTAGAAACCGGTACTCTTAGTGATACACATGACAAAATTCGATGTAATCGTTGTGTAAATGGCATCCAAGTAACTCTTCCACCTGCAGAAGCAACTTGTAACAATGATTTATCACAGTGGCAACATGCAAGTGATAAAAAGAATGTTCCAGACCCTGTTCTCAAAACATGTTGGACTACAGGGGTAACTTTTGTGTTTCATCAAAAGTCTCACGAGAAGAAGTATATTCCTTAATTTACTTTTTCAATTTTACAGGACTTTAAAAACTATGCCAATTTGAATAATGATTTGCCAAATTCAAGTAACAATTTATCTCTTAAAAAGAATTTTGATATATATTTTTCAGGGTTGCAAAAAACCCGGGTTTTTGTAGAAAAACCCAACCCGAGTGGGTTTTTCTGGGTTTTATTGGGCATTTCTGGGTTCTATTGGGCTTTTCGGGTTTTTCATGTTTTTATGGGAGGGTTTTCAAAAGAGAGAGCAGGGATAAGTACCTTATTTTAAAAAAACTTATTTTAATATTAATAATTAAGTTTAATTTATAAATTGACTTCATATAGATAATTAATACAAATAAATTGATGTGAAAGTCTGAAAAAAGTTTCTTCATATATCATGATACAAAATGTCATATGTACTCACATACGTCACACATTTGAAACTTATTTTAACACAGGATTACTTTTTATTTATATTTTAATTTTAAAAAATGTTAGGGGAATTTTTTTTATTTGCATAGAAAGCGAATCAATGGCCATACAGTCAAATCTAGCCAGCAAGGTGACTCTCCAGTCTTCAACACAATTAGTTTCTTCACTGTAGGTTAATTTTTTTTTAGGCTAGATTGCATATATATTTCAATAGAATAGCTCTTTAATATAACAGGGGATGAAAAAAGAAATCAATCTTAGAAAAACCCAGTAAAACCCACTTTAGGGTGTGTTTTACCAGGTTTTTCAGAGTGGGTTATACCCAGTAAAACCCGGGTGGGTTTTTTGCAACCCTGATATTTTTTCAAAATAATGTTTTGTCCCAATAGTACATGAAATAACTTGTAGAACTTGGTGTTTATTTGTTCTACTTTTATAACATTTCAAGCATAATAATTTAAAAATAGCTTTTTTTCAGAATGTGCCTTATTAATAAATAGTTCAGTATTTTCCTACTATGACTCATTATGTAATAATCATTAAAAACATGTAAGAAAAAAGAAAGATTTCCAACTCTTGTTCTCGAAACTTGGTTAAATAAAGAACAAGGGTTAGTTTATGTTTTTATTAAAAGTGACTAAAAGTTTCTATTAAAAAGAATAGTTTTATACAAGTTCGGGTATGGAGAAGGAAAAGATACTTCAGATCCTATTGTACTCATTATTTAGGAAAAATTACTGTAGGAGTAGTTTTTATGTTTAAAAGTCATAAAAAGAACACGTAATTCCTTAATAAACTGTTTAATTTTGCTAGTTTTTTTCAATATTTTTCACTAAAGTAGTTTATATAAATTAATTAATTGCTATTTATTTTCTGATCAAAACTGCAAATTATTTGAAAAATATAGATTGAATTTAATAAATACTGATGAAAAAGCTTTATAAAATGAGCATACGTTCTATCATAGTTCATGTACAAATTACATTATCTTGCATTAATTTATTTCAAATGTTTGGTATTTGAGCAATAAAATAATATTCAGAGATGATTGTGCTCTGGAAAAGTCTGGATTTTTCGCTAACCGTGATCCGGAAGTTTCCAGAAATTATGGATTGCATTTATATATAAAATTTTTTTATTATTTTATTTAGAAATATTATAACCAGAATTTATACTTAGCATCTCTTTCATTTGTAAATATTTTTTCTGGTAGAATAATAAATGTGATTAGACATAAAAGTGAACTTGTACATAATTATTCTTTTAAATTGAACTGCATAAAATTTATTTAGAATTTCATGTTTTGAAAATATGACAGATTTAAATTTATAAAGTAAACTCACTAATGACGCATTGCAAAAAATTAATCTCGATTAATTTTTTGCAATGCGTCATTAGTGATTTTACTAGAGAAATTTTCAGGATTTTCGAGTCGGGCTCACAATCACCCCTGGATATTGAAAGAAACATTTCAATATAATTATAGTTTTCTTAGTTTTAAGAGATCCTTAAGAAAAAGGCTAACTCTTAATAACTCAATATATATAGGATGTGTGTGCAGATAATTTCTTTTTTGTAGAAAGTTATTTATATTTGTCATATTCAACAACAATTTAATGGTGGTTTGTAATAGTCAAACTATTAACAAACTAATACAGTTGTCTGAAATGAATATTTTATGTGTATAAAAATTAATATTTCATAAATCAATGTGTCAACATTGAATTATATTTCATAAATCAATCTTTCCCTGTTTTCTCTGTACTTTTATCTTATAATATGGGCAAAGAATATACATAAGGGAAGAAGGCTACCTTCCATCGATATAAAGTAAACCAGTCCCTCAAGGTTTAGTGCGGTCTCTGTGTATAGAGGAAGAAACAATATTTAGAAGCACAGCAGCAGAATTTCTTGAAATGGGTTTGCACCCTCCTTTCCTCCGAACCACTACTTGGGTTGGGGAGGAGAAGAAAAATTTTATCTTTTTATTTATTGTTGGCTTACTCTGCATTTTTGCACTATTGATAAACAATACTATACTATAAAAACAAGATATTTCTTTGAGATTATATTTATATATCGTCAAATTTGATTAAATCTTCTAACACATTTTGATGCAGGAAGAAAGAAAAAAATTGTTCTATTTGGCAGGAGGCAATGTACACAACCATATATGTAGAGTTGTCCAACAGCAGATTCACAAACATTGACTCTGACTGTCACTTTGCTTCTTATGCACATGCGTTGGATCTTATGCTCTGCTAAATCTGAGTATATTGTTCGCCCTGTAAGTTGTTTTTCTGGTATAGCATACCACATTGAGCAGTTTCCTCCTTTAGTTACGTATTCAAAGAGCTGCACTTCTTCTCCACTTTATATTCTTTTATATGGGTTTCATATACTTTGTGCAATTAATAAATCTTAAATTATTAATTTTATCCTAGTAAATTTCTCTTTTTGATTTGTTGGTTTCTTCCTAATTTGTAACAGTTTTCTATTGAATAATAATCTTTAAATTTGCTTAAAAGGTTTTTATATGATGTGGGAAAGCAGATGTATCCATTTATGACCTTGAATCAATTTAAAAATATTGCAAAAGGTTTATTTTGTCTTAACTTAATGTAACTCTTCTGTTTTAATACAATACAATGTTTGTTGTGAAATAAATTTCTATCCTTTTGAGAGAGCTTAGCAATTTTATCAGATCTGTAGCAATTTGACAATCTCAGGGTATTCCTCACTTAATTATCATTGGTCATCAGTTTTTTCTTCAAAAGAAAACAAAGCATCTTTATCAGGTATATTGCAACCTGATAATATCAGGGTATCCCTCACACCAGTGTTCATCAATTCATGGGCATTTACGGACTAAGACTAAGGAACAATTTGTGTTGTTCATTGGAAATTTTATCAATTTTTCCATGTTGCTGAACAACTGAAAACAGATAAATGTCTTAGATTTTTCCTCATTGATGCTAGATTTTCTCCCTACATTTGTTAAGTAATAAATTTATCTAAAAAGAAACTTCTTCCTTGTGACTGTTGGAAGATTTTGCAGTATCTAAGAATCATGTAAAATATCGTCTTTATCATTAATTTTCTATTTCCTTGAGACTGTGTATGTCTCTATTGACAAAGTAAATTTTGTTCAACTTGTATCAGTTTCAAAGGTTGGTCATTGGTGTATGGCAAATTCTATCAACTATAATTTAAGTTAATATATTTTCTACTTATAACATAAAGCTTCTTTTATGTTTATATTTTTATGTTTTATCTTACTACTTATAACACAGTCAGTTAATCATAAGTTACATTTATTTTGTTATGCAAGAAAAAAGTTTATTTTTCAAAATGCTATAAAGATAAACTTTTATTTTAATGCTCCCATTTGTATTTTTATTCTTCATGTTCGAAGCAAATTTTGTTAAAGTGAAGGATATTTTTTGTGTTAGATTTAAATATGGTTCTATAGATTATTAATCAGCTCATTATTTATGAGCATTCTGACATTTTTACTAACTGTTAAGTTTTCAAAATGTATTTTTGATATTAAGGAGAAAAAAAATTGGGCTTCATTTGTGTATGGTCATCAAAAATATAATAGTTACATTTTTTCTATTAGTATTATTAAATCATGTAAAATAAAGTAACTATTTAATATTAGTACTACTATCTCAAGATAATTGATGTTATATCTCTTTGAGGTATTAAATTAGAAGAAAAATGTCCCCAGTTTGTATTGTAAGATACTAAATATAGAATTGTAAAGTATTTAAAAATGTTTATCAGATATGTTATAATTTATTTTTGTATATTATATTTTGAATAAAAATTTGTCAAATAACAAGTTATACAATTTATTTAAAAGAAAATTATGAGTTAAGATAATCAGTAGTTAATTAGCACTTACAATTATTACAATGATATCACACTTTTCACTTATGTTTCACTTATTATTTTTATTTTTAGAAATAGGAAGTGTAATTTTCAGCATAATTTTTTTTCTTCTTTTTTTATTCTTCTCAAGCACATATTTTTTCCATTTTTTCTGGTTACATGTTTTTCATACAATATTAAATAAATTTTTAAAAAAAAAAGTCGGAGAGAGATATTAATGTGAAATGTGCTTGAAAATGCACGCTCAACAGATGAAGGTATATCTACGTATGATTCTTAAATCATTTAAATTTATTAAGATTTAATAAATTTAGAACCCTTCAGTACATTCCTCAGTTCAATTTCGGAAAAAATTAAAAAAACAAAACAATCTTAGTTATTTATTGTTATTATAATTTTTTTATTTACAAAAATATTTTTTTCATTTTTTACTGGTTACATGTTTTTTATTCGTTATTAAATAATGGTGAGATCTGCATCTGAGCATTCATATTCAAAAATTGAAAATTAAAGTACAAGAATTTATATAAACAATTTTTTTTTCTTTTTCAAGAAAAGTAAAATTTTTTTTTTGCAACTGTATTGAATATATTTAAGAAATTACGTATTAGATTGTAAAAGTCATAATCATTTTCTTCTACTGCACTTTATTGACCATCAAAAATGTGAAAAGAAGAGTTATTTAATTACAATTACAGTGGGGTGTAAGGGGATAGGACTAGAAAAAAAAAAATAAATAATTGAGCTGTCCCAAACTGGGCTCTGGAGGGTGAAGTGACATTTAAATGTATAATTAAATCAAATTATTATAATTGATTTTTTCACCCTACTTTTCAGTTTGCAATGCTATTTTCTAAGAAATAATACTTATAGAATTATCTTTAAAGAGTTCAGTTTGTATGTATTATAAAATAATATCTGCAATTTTATCAAAACCAGAAGGTTTATGTGAGAGTTTTATAATAGCGTTAAAAAATTTCGATCATTAAATCTGTAAGGTCACAAAGTCCGCCACGTTCCCTTAACAGATTATACCTCTAGGAGTACTGAATTGGAGGTTGATCATTTTCTTCGGGTTAAAATTACGATATGTGGATGTATGAATGAGTCCACATTATAAACGGGTGTGATGTATGGGTATGGCAGAAGTCTAATTCTTGGCAACAGATGGCGCCACTTGAAAACAAACACAATCGCACCCCATGCAAAGAGGACGCAATACTTCCCCTCTCAATGCCAGTAGCTAATGTTTTTTCCAAATAATTTTTTTGCATTTTGATATTTTGAAAAAATTCTTTCAGAATTTGAAACTTCATAGTTTATTCTAGTGTATTCACTTTTTTTTTTACGACAAATTTTAAATTATTAATGGAGTTGAATTATCGGTAATCGAGTTATCTTCTAGAAATCCGTTTTTTATTTTTTTATTTTTTATTTTTAAGATTCATTCAGCAAATCCTTATTTTTGAGTACACAAACTATACATTTCAAGCTTCCAAAAGAAATAATTCGTTATTATATTCTTCAATTATGAAATGTGTTATCATCAGAGAAAGATGAACAAATACTAAAAAAATTTGCGAATCGAGCCTAAACCACGCCTCTTGCCTGTCCTCTCTTCATTTACCAATCGAAGTATAAAGGTCTGGTTTCTCAGGACAAGCGCCTTATCTGGGCGTCAGCGGGACGTCAACGTCACGCTGACGCCAACAAAATACTGGTTTGTTAGCTCAAGGCCTGGTTTCTTAGAACTAACGCCTTATCTGGGCGTCAGCGGAAAGTTGACGTAGATCTGACGCCAAAAAAATACTTTTTTGTTAGCTCAGCGTGAGCAGTCGGTCCAACGCAGACATTATCTCTCATTGCGCATGCGTTAATAACGTAAACAAATATTTATTTTGAATTTGTATTGATTTTGTTATTNGGACAAATAATTTCAAGTTATGAATTCCTACTAAAAAATATTTTCTTTCAATAACGCAATTAACTTTTTTAAAATTATAGATTGCGGTATAAAATTTAACTCAAAAATATATAAGATTTTTTAATGAATAATAATTAGTTTAGCAAAAACATTACTAGCTAGTAGTTCTGCTAATAAAAAATTACTTAATTTTTGAAGTGGGAAGAAGCACAAATAAACCCTTCAGTTCATTCTCCA